AAAGTGCAAAGGAAGAGAAGTGCTCCCTCCTCAGCCTGGCCTGGAGATGCTGCCGAGGCCCTGCAGAGCCCAGAGTCACTCTGCTCATGGCCCTGTTTGTGAGGGCAGCATGGCTGGAAACACCAAGCAAGGTGTGCAGAGCTCTGGCAGCTGGCTGACAACAGCACTGAGCTGCTCATGGAGGGCTGGGGCCGTGCTGTCATTGACAGTGCTATAACCAGAATGGATCTTTGCCCAGCAGCTGGAGAGGCAGGGCTGGCAGGGTTGGGCTGTGAGTGTCAGCAGGTTTGGGTGCCCTGTGGCTACGCAACACCTGGGAATGGCTGCTGGGGTTTGTAAGCAGCCTGGGCAGCTGGCACAGTGATTAAGGCCTGGCTCTCTTGCCTGCAGATCACCCTGAAAGGCTCGCTCTGCTCTTCGTGTCCAGCGTTTGCGTGGGGCTGATCTTCACGCTGTGTGCCTTAGTGATCTGCGTGCTGTGTCCCGGTGACATCCGCAAACTGCACGGGAAGAGGGAGCAGCTGGTGCCTCACAGTGCCAGAGCCCACAGGAGCGCTGAGCAGGAGCAGGAGGAGGGGGAGGACTCCTCCCTTTCAAACAGCCAGGATGAAACAGACGGACTGTACAGACCTCCTTTCTCAGGGTATAACTCAGCAGAGGCAGCGGAACTGGCCGAAAGGATTGAGCGCAGGGAGCAGATCATACAGGAAATCTGGATGAACAGTGGCTTGGATATCACACCCCCTAGAAACATCAACACATTTTATATTAATGAACAATAAATGGCTTATTTTGGATGACACTCTACCCCTTTTTAAAAAAACAAAATGTACCTTCTGTGAAGGAACATTCGTATCAGTGAATATAATTATTTGTAAAATAAAAAGAAATATATACAATAAAAAGAGGGTTTCATACCCTTGACTGTCAAGAAATCCTTCTGTGAAAAACACTCTGCAGTTTTAACTAATGGTACAGATTACTTTTCAGTGTAATCTGCAGTGAAATGCATGTTCAGGAATATTAACAAAGGTGGAAAATATTTAATCAGATGTATTGAACCATCAGAACAGACCTGCCCAAGATGTGCTCCTGCTGCTACCTGTGCTGGCCAATCTGTGAAGGACAAGTTTCAAAATGGCTGCTGCTCTCATAAAGGACTCCTGAAGTTGCCACTGTGGAGAATGCTTCACTTACGGGAAACGCTGGGTTCATTTTTGTGATCCTAAAGCAGGGTCAGGGCCAGCACTTCAACGCAGGTCATATTCTCAGGATTTTTTATCAGTTCACAATCTTCACTTGAAAATTGTTAGACTAGTCAGATTTGGTTTCAGTTGGAGAGAAAATTAAATCAGTAATGAGTCTAAGCTGAAACCAGAACGGCCTTCCTGTCTTAAAAATGTCTCCAATATTTTTGCTGCAGCCCACAGGGAATTAACTGAACAAAAGGAGGAAACATGTCACTTCCTACTGGTAATACTTCATGGGTTCACTGTGCTTCCCCACTTAGATGCCGTGTGCCCAGGTAGAGCGTAGCATGGAACCCTTGGAAAGAACACCGTGACGTGGCTTGTCATTTCCTGCTGATACAAAGTTAAATTAATCCTGGAAAAACTTTAAAGAGAGGAAGGGACCTTGCTCAGATGACTAAGGCACAATCCTGTGCTCCACTGGAAAAATCCCACCAGCAAGTAGCATCCTATCAGCGGAAGGAAGAGAGGCTGAGGAGCTGGGCTGAGGGCTGAGGTCACCAGAGCACGGGGAGGCGGTGGCAGAGGCCGGCACAGCCCAAGAGCCTGGCTGCAATCCTGCTGCTCCCCCCTGTCAGCAGGAGGCTGCCACAGCCTGTGCTGTGCACAACACCGATCGCTGGGTTCAGCTCTGACAAGCCCCTGCCTCGGTCCTGAGGGTGGAACAAGGCGAGTTGGCCTTTGGGGAGGGCCCTGGGCCAGATCCGGGTCCTTCCTCCCGACTCATGGGGCAGGTGCTGCCATGTCCCAGTCAGGTACAGAGGGACTGATCTACATCCAGCAACTCCTCCTGCTGACAAACCATGCTAGGGACAAAGAACTCATGGGGCAGGCGCCCGCCATGTCCCAGTCAGGTACAAGGGGACTGATCTACATCCAGCAACTCCTGCTGCTGACAAACCATGCTAGGGACAAAAACCTGATCCTCACCCTTTTATGGAGCAGGCTGGGCTCTGGCCTGCAGGGCTGAGGGCAGGGGCTCCCCAAAACTCTGAGTCTTGGTGAAACTCCCTTCTGGAGAGCCTGGGGCCCACAGCCCAGCTAATCTTTTCTGGAAGTTATCTGGCTGGCAGTTAATGTTAATAGTCACTAAAATCTGTGCATTTTCTTGCCTCATTTTTTATTGGGAAGCCTCAGTGGGGTTGCAGCCCATAAGCAGACATCCTAACAAAAGCTGGGAGTTACCTTTCCTTCAGATTTCACTTTACTCAAGACAAGGTGAAGCCAGCATGCCACCAGGAGAACACCTGGTCCAGCCACAGATGGGACTCCACAACCTCTCTGGGCACCTGTGCCAGTGCTCGGCCACCCCCACAGTGACAGTGCTCCCTGAGCTTCAGAGGGACCCTCTGTGTCTCCCTTTGTGTCCATTGCTTTGCTCCTGCCATTGGGCACACAGTGCTTCCCCCTCTTTGCTCCCTTCACCCACACCTCCATCCACCTGGTACCTCCCACTGGGATTCCCAGCTCAAACCTGGGTCTCCACTCCTGGTAACAAACTGCAGTGGCAGCACATCAGCAGAAACCAGGAGTCAGCCCCTTCCTTGGGCCAAAACATTTCGCTTTTCCCAACTCCCAGTCCTCTCCTTGCTTTTCCAACCTTGCAGGAAAGACATTTTACACTGAAATAGGGATTTAACAATGAAATAGGGATTTAACTGATGACCTGATCCCCTCCTGACTTACCTCCCTGCCTGCCACCACTCACCAGCAGGCAGACAGACAGAAATTCCTCCAGGTGCCAGAGAGGCAGCTGCTTCCCAAGATGGAGCATTTCACAGACACTGGGAATGTGTTTTGAAGGAAAACAAGTGCAGTGCTTAATAATGCATGCCTGTTGAAATGGGCCCTCAAACACAGTGACAGACCCTGTCCAAACCCCAGCCCCAGGAGCAACTCAGCAGGGCAGGGAAGCAGCCTCTGCTCCAGGCTGGGAGGTCAAGCTTCACTCAGGATCTGGTCCTTTGCCTGAACTATTTCTAGTTTTGCATTCAAGTTGCTATTTTATTCTTTTTGCATGAACTTTCCAAGTTGGGGAAAGCTGTCAATTAGTGGTTCGCCTCATTTCCAAATCCTCCTCACTGTTTGCAGCAGTCTGAGGGTCAGAATGAAGATAAACATAGAAAAACCTGATAAACAGACATGGAATTTTTTGGCTCTTTCTGAAACAACACCCAAAGTATCCAGCAGACAAAACAGAAGATGAATGAGGTGTGCACTTCTCTGTCCCAGGCCTAAAAAGCAGCAGCTGCAGTGCCCCAGCTGGAAGCTCTGCAGGCTGATATCCACAGGGAGGGTGCCATAGGCAGCAGCAATGCCACTGGAAGGACACTCAGGGCTGGCTGTGGGATGGAGCTCCAGCAGCAATGTCCCTGCAATTCCCCAGAAGAGCAGCCTAAGGACAAGGCACTGCAAAGGAGAGCCAGCAAGGTGTTTGGACTGACTGGTTTGTGCCCCACGCACAGCTGTGGCCATGACAACATCTGGAAATTCTATGCCCCAGCACCAACATCTGAACTCGCTGCTGTGGCTATTTGAACTCCCCACTCCTGCCGTGGGATCAGCCTCCAGTGGTCACCAGGAACGCTGGGCGAGGTTGCAGGAAGCAACAAATAAATCCTTCCAAATCCTGGCTGAGGCAGAGACTGGAGCAATGTGGGACAGCAACACCGTGAAAAGGAGAGAAGGAATGAAACAGGCGTGGAAAGCGTTTCCATTCATCGGGATGGAGATATGGCCACAAAACAAACATTTTAACAATGTTCTGCTGTGTGTCTCCTTGGAGAGAGAATGGATTTCCCCTGTGGAAGGGCATGGCTACTCTCAACTCCCAGAAATAATGGTTTACAAGAAAGACCAAACTCTGCTTTTGCAAAGCTGCAAACGTGCAACTTGTGGTGTTTCTCTTTCATTATCTCCTTGGACAGTTAAATACCCACAGGCTTTCCTCGGTTCCAGTTCTCCTCAGTCCTTTTCCAGTGAGTTCATTCACTTTCAGCCACAATGAAAGAATCCAGCAGATCCACGGACACTGTTGTGAGAACTCCAGAAAGGATCAATGCTATGGAAAGTTTGCTCAGCTAAAGAAAAAAACAGCACCAATTACAGCAGAGAACAGCAGTCAGAGGAGAGCAGGATCTGTGTTAAATGTTTCCTATGCCTGCTTTGCCCTTGCTTTCAGAGAGGAAATGAGAATATTATAAGCTCCAGGACATTGATTTTCCTCTTAGGAAGTTGAAGAACAAAGTGTTTTTTTTTCAAGAACCTTTTTTGCCATGTGAAATAATTCCAAATAAATTTTAAATTAAAAATACTTGAAGTTTTTCAACTCAGAAATGCTGATTTTTCTTTTTGTAAAAAGTCATGTTTCTGTAAAGTTGAGATTCAAGAAAAATTACCAGACACCAAACTTCCCTGAAAGTAAAAAAATCAGTGATTGAAGTAAAAGCACCATGAGTAGTTCAGTGAATGGCATTCATTACCTGTTCTGCATCCAATCTTCAAGCTGCAAGTTCAGCAAACACTTGGCTTTCACCTTGATTGGTGTCTCTTCAACCATACTAATACAGACAATGATGATGATTTTTTACTTCCATCCTAAAAGATCTGGTCCTATGAAACTTGGGTTTATCCAAGCTACCTGCAAATGATGCTTATTTTTGTACACAAATTACTGTCAACCTCTATATGCCAGCAAGAAAAACTAAACCCAAAGAATGAAAATGAAGCATTCCATGAGGATGTCACTAGTGTTTGTATAAAAACATTTACTTTGAACAATTATTAAGAGGTTAACTCATTTCAAAATGACAGTTTGGAAATAGCTATGTTGAAATGTGAACAAGCACATAAAAAAACCTTCATTCTCCCTGGATGAGTCAGGGGAAACTGATCTCCTATAAAATAAATTACCTTTTCCAGAGCACACCATCTAACAGCAATGCAGGAGAGTATAAAGAGCTCTCTGAACAACACCAATATTCCAGGGCATATTTACTACATCTCCTGCCTATGAAACAGACTGACATTTCCAATTCCAAACTGCAAGTTTCTAATAAAGTACCACACGTCAGGAGAACCTGTTCATTTCTTTGCAGAGGAAAGTGCTGCTGCAGTCACAGAGAAATAGGAACATTTATTGAACACCTAAGGCCACAGGAGGGACAGTTTGTTCAGCTGCTCTCTGAACACTCTACCACACACACCACAACACTCCGTGCTTCAAACAGGAGCACCAAGCGAGCAGCTTGGGAAGGGGCGTGCAGAGCTTCATCTGGGACCCCATTTGATGTCTTTGACCCCGTGGAATTGCCTTTTCAGAGCGTGGCTGTCTGCCCACTCAGCGCTGAGGAAGGAGTCGTCGTCCTCCTCGTCCAGTTTCTGCGGCACAGAGGGGAGGGCGGCGGTGAGGCACTGAGCTCGGCTGGAGCAGCCCCGCACGCACGGGCACCACGGGCACACCCACCTTCAGCTCCTCCTGCTTCCTGTGGTAGTACAGCATCATCTCCTTCTGCTCCTCGTGGCTCAGCACAGGCTCCCGCCCCGGGGCTCCCTGCCCTTTCTGCAAGGCAAGTTGGAAATGCTGCTGGTGACTCTGGCATGCAAAGGAGAAGCTGCTACACACAGACAGCAAAAACCTTTCAGACAGCTGGACTTCATGAGCTCCCTCAGCACAGGAAAATAATGCTGAGGAACTGTGGCTGCATTCACAGAATCACAGAATGGTTTGGGTTGGAAGGAACCTTGAAGATCATTTCATTCCCACCCCCTGCCATGGGCAGGGACACTTTCCACTAGCCCAGGATGCTCCAAGCCCCATCCAGCCTGGCCTGGAAAGGGATCCAGGGGCAGCCACAGCTGCTCTGGGCACCCTGTGCCAGGGCCTCAGCACCCTCACTTTCCTTATTTTTTCAAGTGAGGATTATTTTTTCATCTCTGTAGCTGAATCATGCTGCCAATTCTGTGGACATCAATGGAAGATGCAAACAGGATTAAGTCTATTTTACATAAATTTCCACTTTAAAAGATAAAACAAATCTGCTTTAAGGTCACTCTACCTATCTCTTTAGCTCCCCTACTAATACAGACACAGGATGGCATAGGAGTCAGTAAAGCAGAGAAGTAAGGGAGTTACAAACCACTACAAATAAAAGGAAATCTCTTATCCAGGCCACTGTGTCCCTGGAAGAAATGATGGACAAAGCAGAAAACTTGTGCTGTCAGCAAGTGCAAGCACAGCATCTTCCTGTGCATGGAGATGTGGATGCCCTGGAGAACAAACAGCTCTGAGGGGGTTTGGGCACAGAGGAGCCCCTGCACTGCCCTTGCTCTGTGAGCAAGCCCTCCAACTAATTAAACAGACAGCACTCCCAGGAGCTACCCTGCAGTGGCCATTGGGATGCCACACCATGCATTTCCCAATGACCCTGCGAGGGAAGAAAATCCAAATCTGGCCTTCTGAACAAATCACCTGACTCACCTCTCAGGGATGCACTGCAGAACCCACTGCAGGTGGCAAGATTTGCCACAAAACTTGCCAGGTTGTATTCCCTCCATTCTTTAAATGCCTCCTTGTTGTACTCCACAAAAACACCATGGAGCAAGAAATAGTGACTACAGTATGTAAGTGACAGGCTAAAGAGTTACTGGAGAGAAACTCAGAGTACAATCCATTCAAACCTTAAAACAGATGCACAGTTTGAGGATGCTCAAGCTGGAACTAATCTAATCCATTTTATACTCCTATGGATAGTTCTCTTCCACAGAGAACAGACAGCCAAGGGTGAGGAACTTGTAGAGCAATCTCCCAGCAGTACTCACCTTCTGGATCTTCACAATGATGGTTGTTTTCTCATTTTTGCCCACGTAGTCAGACAGCAACTTTGTTTCTTCTAACTGCTTTCCTGCCCACCACAACTGTGCTTCGGATTCTTTTATAACTTCAGTTCCAGCCTGTGACAAAATAAACAAGGTGAAGAGTTGGAGGATATTGTTTCTTGCTTTTTTTCCAAAACCAGATTTTTTTCATGGGGGAAAAAAAATAATCTTTCTGGAATTCCTAACATGAAGTGTAATTTTACACTCTACTTCTACGTGTTTCTCCTCATATTCATCTGTGGCATTTTTATTTATATTCCATTCAATCTTGATCTAATATAAACACTTTGGGACACAAATCCTCCATACTGGGGGTGAAAACAACTTTCAGTGCTAAGATGAAGAACAGCACGGGCCATGTTTAACCCAGGACTACACACAAGGGAATACATTACTGCGTACGTGAGTTCCTGACAAGTCTTCTTTATCCTCAAACTCCATCCTGATGGGATCATGTGGGGGCAATCCCATGGGATACACGATCGTGACCGCCCCTCGGAGCTGCTCCAGGGCGTCTGTCACCGTCTCCATGCCAACGCACACACTGGCCTGAACTTGTTTCTGAAACACACACAGGGATCAGGGGCAAGGCAAGCAAACCTGCAGGAAGAGTGGCCAGTCCAGAGCTGAAGTGATGGGACACCTGAGCAGAGCCAACAGGCTGCATCAGGATTTTAGGAGTGCCAATCTCCTCACTGGAATACCGACTTGGGAGAACATCTCTCACCTCTGGCCCCTCTGTTTAGCCTGTCTACCTTGGGTGAGGGAGAGCACAGAAAAGGGAGATCTTCACCAAACTGTGAGGAGACAACTGCCCCTGGAACACAGGACTCAAACCAGGACACATTTGTGTGACCACAAGCAGCAGATGGGGTGCTGTGGCTCCAAGCACTTGTGACTCCTGAACGTGATTCAAGCCAGCAAAATTCAAGTGAGGGATGGAGAAGGGGCTTAAAACTTGAGAAAAAAATAGAGCACACGTGAGCAGCAGTGTAAAGCTTGGCAAACTGCACAGCTCATGCACAGAGCTGCAAGAACAAGCACTTGAGATCATTCCAACCCCAGTGCAAGGACAAAGGAGAAACATGACACATCTGGAAGAACAGAAATAAAGGTCTTCCCTGCAGAGCTAACAGTTTGTTGAGCACTCAGCTAAGGGAATGTTGCCTCCTTGTGGACGTTCCTGATCTGGCTAACTGGCCAGTACAACCCCAAACACACAGGCATGTTTCTTCCATTTTGTCACTATCAAGTGGCAAACCAAACAAGCCACTTTCCAAGCTACCCTTAACTCCATTCATAAACGTTACTACATTGGTGTTTCAAAGCCATAGGGAAGCTGAAACACCACACAGAGCACCTGCAGGTTTGGCCATGTCAATCTGAATGCCTGAGAGCACCGTCCCATCATCAGGGCAAACCCTGTGCTCAGCAGGACTGAGCTGAGGGCACGTGCAAGCACACCAAGGCCTACGCCCTGCTCTGGATCCCTGCAAGTGTTCAGGCTGCACTGAGCTCTGAGCAGCCTGCTCCACTGGAAGGTGTCCCTGCCCATGGCTCTGGGTGAGCTTTAAGGTCCCTTCCAAACCAAACCATCCATGATTCTGTGATAACCTAAGAGATTAGAACACATTTTTCAATTAATTACACATAAAAGTCAAAAGACTTCATTAACTCTGAGAACAGCACAGAATGCAGTTAATTTTTCACCAGAAAGCACGACAAGCATTCCCCCAAAGGACACAGCAGTAGCAAATTGCAAGGATAAAACTGAATGTGATTTAATGGCTCCACATGGGCTCAGCTGCCAGCATTCCCTTGGAGTTTGGATCCGATTCCTTAACCTGTTGAACCACTTGCCAAAAGCCTTAAAGAAAAATATTAACCAAAATGTCAGGTTTTATTAGACCATTCGCATCACTTCATGGCATTTCTCAACAACTGTCAGCCCTTGCACCGAAAAAAGCCTGATTTTATTTAAGATGCCCAACTCCACAGCACTTATTTTAGGAAAGCCCACACATCACTTGAGGAAACTCACCTTAGAGATTAATGCCTTGGCTTCTTCTATTGTTTTCTTTATAACTTGCTGCATTTTTTCATTTGGAGCTACAAGTAAGAGAGAGATCCCACAGTCTATGCTTACTGTAAAGAAACCTAGCACACATCCTGTGCAGACTCCACTGTGAGCAAATGAAACAGTATTGTACCATAAAGCAGGAGTTACATGGTTCATTCCTGTATTTCCTACTAACTTAAGAAATAAGCAGTATTTCTCATGGGACAGCAATATGGCTTCTCCCAAAGACATGTGACTGGTATTTGCCCCATCCCTGGAAGTGTTCCAGGCCAGGCTGGACAGGGCTTGGAGCAATGTGGTCTAGTGGAAGGTGTCCTGGCCCATGGCAGGGGAGTGCAAGTGGATGGGCTTTAAGGTCCTTTCCAACCCAAACTATTCTGTGATTCCATGATTCCATGATCTGGAACTTCATTTGGGACAAAGGTCCTCAGTAGAAAGCAACAACCATAATCCCATACCCTCCAGAACAATCCAAGGCTCCTTCCCTGCTGGACTACTGTGGGCTGTACTGGCAGACATGCCTTAACTGGGCAAAACAGCTCGCAGCTTTCTTTTCTAATTAAAATCTCAATCTAACAATGAAGACAGTTTCACAAATACACTGTACATTTCACATCACAGTTATCTATTTCAATTGCTACAAAAAGCCTGTCCTCAAAAACAAAAATCCAGCTGAAGCATGCTCATTCCCAGCTTATGTCCTACTTGGGTGCATCGTCTGATGGCACCTGGTTTGGCTTGCATACGCACCCCGTTCAATTTTCTAACTTGGTCAATATCACAAGGCTGAACTATCCCAGTCAATGAGACAAAAGGAGAGATATCAGAAAAACAACCCTTAATGTATCTTGGGGTCCCTGGGGAAACCCAGCTCTCGAGTGTACATTTACAAATGGGGAGGGTAAACAGAACTGGAGCAGTCAAACTTGCTCCTGGTGATTGTTTATGTGCTGAAGAGAGACACTGCTCTTCAGGCTTGTTCATCAGCATTACCCCAGATTCTGACCCAAGACAGAATCCCTGTGTGTGGAACTTACAGTTTGGCTACCCCATTCCAGAACCAGGGATTTGTTGCTCCCTGTTATATTATGGATTGTCTGTGTCTGAAGGGAAAGAAACAAGCACTGACATTTGACTCACCAAATCCATTTCTTCGCCCCATCTCATCCTTCCTGAAGACGCTCCCACCGCTTGGGACACACTTCTCTGCCCACTCGTCCTTTAACTTCAGCTCTTCTATCTGCTCCTCTGTCAGTCCTTGCATGTTGTAAGGTAAGGAAATGCCATGCTCTGCCAGCTCCTCCATCTCTTTAGAGTGTTTAGAGAACAAGATTAAAAGTCTATTACTATAGTCCATTTACAAAAGCCTTTCACATGATGTATGTGCAGGCAAAACTTGCCCCGAGCTTTTAGTTTCTAAACAGATAAATAGAGGGAATAAAGAATAAGGGATATAAACAGACATATATAGATAGTGTAATAATGTTGAAATTTATAAATTTTACAAAACCATAGAACAACGTAACAAATGACAAGTGCAGGGATACAAACCCTCATGGTACTTCGTGGCCATAAACCTTTTATTTTTGGTATTTCCCTGGTCCGGTTTTTTTAGATTTCAGAGCAGTGTCAGTACGGCCTCAGACACGCCACAACCACAGCAGCTGTGGGTGGGCTGTACCCCCAGGTCAGGCTCACCTGACAGCAATCGCTGCTCTCACAGCCCCACGGTGGGGCAGGAAATGTTTTTTAAAGCTGCCTCGGAAGCTGCTGGTCAGGGGGGAGCACTTCACAGTGCCCTGAAGGACGACTTTGGACAGAGTAACAGGACACGGGGGAATGGCTTCAAACCGCCACAGGGCAGGGTTAGATGGGATACCGAGGAGGAATGCTTCCCTGCGAGGGTGCTGAGGCCCTGGCACAGGTGCCCAGAGCAGCTGTGGCTGCCCCAGAACCCTGGCAGTGCCCCAGGCCAGGCCGGACGGGGCTTGGAGCACCTGGGACAGCGGAAGGCGTCCCCGCCATGGCAGGGGTGGCACTGCGAGAGCTTTGAGGTCCAAACCAAACCATTCCGCGATTCCCTGATTTAAGCAGCTGCTACCGGCACACGCAGTGGGAGAGGTTTCAAGGCTTTGCAGTGCCTTCACTGAACACCGAAAGCGGGAATTCGCACCGACCCCGTCAGGAGCGCAGGCGAGGTGTTCCCGCTGCCCGGGCGGCTGCCGGAGCTGCTCCCGCCCGCCGCGGCCCCGCGGTACCTGAGCACAGGCGCTGCACCTTCAGCCGCCCGTTGTGGATGCGGGCCACCAGCGGCGCCAGCTCGGCCAGGCGGGCGCTGCCCGGCGCCTCCAGCAGGAACTCGCTCTCGCCGCCGCGCTTGACGTGCAGCCGCACCATGGCCGGCCCGGGCGGCCCCTCAGCAACGGAGCCGAGACCCTGGATACCGGCGGCAGGGAGGCAGCGCGGGGAGCGGCCGCGCCCGCCGCTCCGGGAGGCCCTGAGGGCGCGGGGGGACCGCTGCCGCCCCCTCCGGTAGCACCGGGATCCTTCGGGATCCTTCGGGAGACTCCGGTCTCGCAGCAACGGCGCCGCCACCGATCCCGCCGCCGCTTCCCCTTCCGGCCTCCCCGTGAGGGCACGGGAGCCTTAAAGAGCCCGCGCGCCCTGCCCCGTGAGGGGAACGACCGAACGTCTCACCAACTGCAGGTAAGGAGTCTAATCACCTCTTAAATTAATTGTTCTAATTAATCATCAGCTATATTTATATCAATTATAAGTAGCAGCTATATTTATATAAATTATAAGTAGCAGCCATTTTTTTATATCAATTATAAGCAGTGGTACTTCCGACTACCCCGTGAGGGCACGGGAGCCCTTAAAGGGCCCGCGCGCCCTGCCTCGTGTGGGGAGCGACAAAACGTCTTACTAATTGCATGTAAGGAGTTTAATTACCTCTTAAATTAATTGTTCTAATTAATCATCAGCTATATTTATATAAATTATAAGTAGCAGCTATATTTGTATAAATTATAAGTAGTGGTACTTCCGACCACCCCGTGAGGGCACGGGACCCCTTAAAGGGCCCGCGCACCCTGCCCCGTGAGGGGAACGGCAGAACGTCTTACTAATTGCAAGTAAGGAGTTTAATTACCTCTTAAATTAATTGTTCTAATTAATCATCACCTCTATGTACATCAATTATAAGTAGTGGACTAATCTTAAATTACTCTCGGGCGCTATTTAGCAAAGTTGTTACAAGCTATTTCTGTGGGGACAGCTTGGGAAAAGGCCTGAAACATTCAGTTTTGATAAACTAACTCTGATATTTCCAATGAACAAAGCCCAGGAGAGAAAGAGGGACTGGGGAGGTTGGACATCTAGAATGCAGAATTTATGGATCACAAGGACACTATGGCAAAAATACCAGATAAAAACTCGCTATATACACTGGAAATTCCCTACTAAAGGGAAATATACAAAAAGACTAAAAATATGCTCTAATTAGCATAAGAAGTGATAAATCAATCACCAGTAAATGACAGAATACTAATTAATTAAATATAATGATGTAATTTAGAACCCATGAACATTAATGTAGAAATGTTTAAATAAGTTAATAAGTTCTGTATCAATGTCCATGTGGAGGCCAGAATTCTGTCAGCCACACAGCCCCTGGCCAAGGATAAAGGAATGCCCAACCTGCTGACACTAAAATGACAGTCTGTAGAGGGTTTTATTTATCCTGACGATTCAGGAGGATTTGGCAGCACAGGGGCACAGAGGGAGAACGACCACCCAGACCATAAGGATAGGAGTATTTCAGGCATACCTGGGTGTCCTGGGGGATACAGCCACGGAAACAGAGTCCAGGAACACGTGGGGAGTGGGTCTCACCTCCATCCTCCGTGTTTGCAGAGCATCTGCTGCTGCTCAGTACTCCCATCAGTACATGGCAGGGCCTCACTGCAGCTCACACATATATATATATACACACACACACATATATATATATATACACACACACAGACCCTGAAATCTGGGAGCATTCCCCGTGGTGCCCACAGCCCCGTGAGGCGCAGAGGAGCCGCACGCCCGGTACAGTTCAGACAGATAGTTTTTAATCACTGCAATTAAATATTCGACAACATATTTTATCATCACGTGACTCCCACTAGCAAAAGTTCCCCCCTGAATTTGGTTTGCTAATGTAAGGATATCCCAAAACACCAACCACATGGATGTGTGCAGCAACAGCGTGAAACAAGGGAACTCACACACCGAAGCACAAGTAGTACCACTGCTGTTCCGAGTGTACACCTGGAATGACCTGAACAGAAAAAAGCGCAATAGGAAACTCACTACCACTCCTCTAGGCGGCTGCAGCTCGTGCCTAACCAGGGGCTGTCTGAAGGGATAGTGGATTATTTCATGGATCATTTCATGGATTATTTCATGGATCATGTTGTGAGAGTGTTTGAACATTTCCGAAGCGCGCTGCCCTGGGATATTGCACTACTCTAAATATAATCTAAGTGTGTTGTCTCACCCCCTGGCTGGGAGACTACATGGCCTGCACCTGGCAAATACTGCTTGGTATCTCAAAAGCCAAGGGGGGCTTTTTTCCAGAGGTTGAGGAAAAGCCTGCTGTATCAGCTGTTTCCAGTTTGTGGAAAAAAAAAAAGTATAGTTAAAAGAGTAATGAATAAATGGATGATATGGAACAATTATTCTGAATTAGTGCTAGTGAGTGTATGTCACAATAGGATCTAACAACTGAAATGTACTGACACAGGAGATTAATTGAATATATTAATATGCAAAGTTTTGTTTCTATTTTGAAAGTAAACTATTTTTGTTGTGCCTCAAATTCAAATATAAGCCTTACAAATACCCATAGCCTCTGTTATAAATTAAACAGCTTCTAAACAATACTTGTCAACATTCAAATCTCCATAAACTTTGGCAGCTCTTTGGTAAATACTTATAAATATCAACTAACAAAACAGTCAAAAGGGAGGGGGGGAGGCTGCCAGCAGGGAGCCTCTTCTTGTGAAATTCCACAAAGGAGAACAGAAATGAAAGAGCTCCCTAAGCAAAATCTGTGTCCAGGAATGACAGGTTTTAGTGAGACAGTAGCTCACCCTTCTCTCTCTGTCTATTCAAATACTATTACACCGAGGTCTTCATAAACTCCTGGCCATTTGTTGTGCTCTACCATATATACACATTCAGAATTTATACACGAGCTGAAGTGGCTGTTTACGAGCAGAGTTAACTTTCAGTGCATTTAACCATTAATTATTGCACACAGAATAATCTCAAATGCCCAATTATTCTACTGGATAACACGTAGGAACGAACACGCCCTCCTGCACCTCCGCCCAGCTATCTCTCCGTGAAGCCGCGGCTTGGTGGCCCCTTGGGTGCCAGGGAGGGACCGGCAGGGCCCCTGCTGCTGGCTGCTGCGGGTGGCACCGGGGGGGCAGGCGGCTTCCGGGCTGGCAGCGAGCAGAGGCAAGCAGCAGCGCTGGGGCCGCAGTCACCACCCAGGGCAAAGTCCGAGGGGAGCAGGGCCGGGCACCCAGCCGGTGTCCCGGAGCCCAGCCGTGTGAAATCTGCAACGCTGGCGGATGGCTTCAGCTTGGTGGGGACGTTCTCGTCCTCGTCAAACGTCACCCAGCCCCTGGGCTGCACCTTCTCCACCTTGAGAGAGCCGCCGCGCCGGCAGAAGGCGTTTGCAGCTGCACCCACGGGAAACAGGGGCTTGCCTGGGCCACAGCTGGGCGGGGGCAGAACAGGGAACGGGTGGGAAGCAGCAGCTCCTGCCAGTACCGGTGAGGGGATCCTGGACTCCCCTGTCTCCATCCTAAATGGGTTCCCAGCATTGGGAGTTCTTTCAGTGAATGGGTTTGAGCAGTTCAGCCCAGTAATAAATGGGTTTGGAGAGCTGTGCTGATGTTCCTGGGATGAGTGAAAGGTTGGAATAGGAGGTGTTGCTGACATGCAATTTACAGGACTCAAATTCTCCGCATTTCTTTGCCTTGCTGAAGGCAGCTCTATCGACTCCTTGTGGTTTGAGGTTGGAGCAGGTGATGTTCGGACAGATGTCTGCATCTTGGACACGAGCAGCTGGAATGACAGGTCTTCAAAAGGGTCACTGCTGAGCTGGGGTTCAGGGTTAGTGCCGTGTGTCCCGCTGGGATTCTGCTGCAAAGGAAGCACACGCTCAGGAATCATGCAGCTGCTTCCAGGTTATTCCTACTGCCCCCTTCTCACCCCTCAGCTCCAGCTTCAACCCCATTCTGTTTTAACTACAACTGTACCAACAGCCTGAACCCCCTCTGCCTAAAGAAAAGCCTCTAAGCTGTCAAACACCACTCCCTCCTGCTCCGTGCTGAATGCAGCTGGAGCCTACTTCCTGCAGGTCCCAGTCCCAGCAACAAACACTGAGGGAACTCGGCATGGCAAAATGTTCGGGAAATGCGCTCCAAGCGAGGGACAGCCCGGCACAACTATGGAATGAAAAGCTCCAGGTTACACTGTGTGGGAGTTGACCACACTGATGTTACAGCAGCGTTAAAGCACCGCAATGAGAGGAAACATCAGTGTTATTAGTAAATGCAGTCAGACTTTGCTATGTAGCCAGGCACCCATAAGCATCTCTTCTTGGCATGGAAAGGGACAATCACTAATTAAAACAACAAGTTACCCTTGGAGAAGACAGTTTTCTCCACAGAATTCCTCAGCTTTGAAAATCAAAATATTCCTGGTTTTACACACTGCTTCAAACAACAATGCAAGGTATTTTCTACCTTGTACAAGCTGTCCAAAAAGGTGGAGTATCTGCTTTGTTCAGTATGCACACTGACAGAACAGAGCTTGGAGCTTCCCCTTACCAAATGAGTTAAGCTTAAGTAAAAACGGCTTCTAAGAGTTCAAATGTCACAAAAAGATTTTATGATAAATTGAATACACCAAAACAACTGAAAGGACTGTCTACAGTTGAAGGTTTTTTGCAGAATAATATTAAAACAAAGACATGGAGTAACTTAGGGAAAAATGTGAAAAACTCAACTGTAGAAGGAATAGAACTCAAATGCAGCCTGGCACCAGCTGGTTAAGTCCTGTGGCCAGTTGAAAGTACAAGATCCCAAAGAAACTAGGAATCCAAATTGCTCCTCATTCCAAGTACAAACTTGCTTTGAGTAATTCTGGAAGCAAGTGTTTTTAAAATGGTAACAGTTTGTTTTACTTCGGGCCACAGCAAGGCCTCTGTTCCTTGAGAAATGTGATCTATGGGGTTTGTTCTGAAATGGAATTTGGCAGTGCAGTAGCATCAGGATTTATTTGCATTACAGAGAGCATTTATTGCCAACACTGATCTGTTTTTCCCTGAGCAGACCAAGATCAGCAGTGCCTGAGCAATGCAGGTGAGGGTCCAATTGTTTCATAAAAAGATGATGACACAAAATAGTGCCTGGCCCCAGTGAAAGCAGTCTCATTTTGAAATGCACCATGAAAGGAACAAGCACACCATGGTATGACAGGCAACCCATGAATGCAGACAGGTGTGTTTGAGGGGATGGGACTGCAGATGTATGAGAGCACCACCCATACATCTCTGCTGCTCGAATGGAGGGAGCCACGTACAAGGTTGGGAAATAGTCAGATACCTGTTACCCTGACGGTTGCTCCTGCTTGTGAAAGAGAAACACAGATCAGAGGAGGAAAATCAGCAAGAAAATCCAAGTAACAAAGCAACCTCATGTTAAAAATAATATTTTCAGAAGTTTTCACAGAGCTGGTTTTTTGAGCTGTGAATACAAACCACAAGTATTTACTACACACTACACTAAATTTTCCATTTCTATTGTCTTCTACTGTAAGCTCAACCATTGGGAGTCATAAAAAACCAACTCAGGTCCATTCTAATGGTATTTCCATGGACACCCATTGTGCAGCTGATTGTGCTCCTTTTTGGAGACAAGTTACAGGAATGTGAGCACGGGTGGTCTAATTCTAGCCACCTGTTACCATGAAAAGCCCCACAGCTCTCATTCTGGGAACTGTGTCAGTATTGTCCCTCATCCACAGGAACAGCTTTGCAAGCTGACACAACCATAATGCCTCTCCTTCTGTGGAAATGTAGCATCTCCCTTCTTTGCAAGGAAGAAGATCTATTTACAGTAACTATTGCTCTTTTTCAGTGTGGGGATTGTATGGATTCCTGAATTGTCACACTGTAGCAGTGATTATTTTTATAAGAACAGATTTCGTTTCTCCAATATCATAATCCAGATTTGCATAGAAGGATGGCTTGGAATTCACTACCTCTCAAAAGACCTTGCACTCCTTTAAAGGCCTTTCCTCAGAAAACTGCACTTTTTGGTCTAAGTTTCCAAAGTGAAAGGCAGTTCACAGGCAAAGAAAGAGGTTCAGGAGAAAGAAAGGAAAAGCATTTAAAGATTTTTTCAGTTTGGATTCAAAAATCAGCTCACTGAGGACTGAATTTGGCTGCTTCACTGTGGTACAAAATAGGCATTAACTATTGTAGCAAAAAAGGGCTTCAGATACAGGCATAAGAAAAAATCTGAGCAGCGCTGAAAACCTGCTTCTGCATTTTTAAGCAGCAGTAAGAAACTATGGCTTTTCCTATAAAAATTGATGGTTTTTTATCATAACAGCATAAATGATCCCTGAGAACAGAATGTTAATGTTACTGCATGAAATTCCTACATCATGTGGATAGGTCTCTGTATTTTCAGTGACACTGGGAAATGGGGAGAATTCTATTTCTCACAGGTATTCGTTAATACATTGATTAGGTTTATGAGCTTACCAATGTCATCTCCCTTCACTGAATGATCACCAACACCAAGCACCACCTATTCCAAACCCGTGCTGCCTTACTGTACAGCTTGTCATGCACGCATCATCATCAAATCAGACTGCCTAGACTGAGTGCTTTGCCAGACAAAGCTGCCAAATGACAGCATCATTTTAACACTGAGCTGTCCATAAACTGTAAAGCCATCGTCAGAAATCCTAAGTCCATGTTTAGCATTTAAGATGTTAGTTATTCAGGGACAGCACACAAGCAAGTGTTACTCTCCTTGAGCCCCAGGGCCACTGAATCCGACCTCTGGGCCCTCGTTTTTGTTTCTGTGCTCGCTGTAAGGGTTCCTCAGAGGCTGCAGCAGGCAGTATGAGCCGCGTTGGTTCCCACAGGGAAAGGAGGCCCCTGCAGGGCTGTGCCACTCACCGGCTGCTGGCAGGGAGCCGGTTCCGAAGGCAGACTGTGAGAGGAGCGGCTGCGAGGCGGCGGCTGCGGCGGCTCCAGGCTCTGCGGGGCGCCCGCCTGAGAGGGCTGGGGTGCCGTGGGGATCAGGGGCTCCTGCATCCTCAGCACAGCAGGGCCAGCAGCCTGAGGCTTCAGTGGCTCAGGAAGCAGGGGCGAGCCTGGAAGGACACGTGCAGTGATTTGCATGGTCAGGAATTGCAATGAATACTGGGGATTCATTACAACTGTAAGGAATTGTAAGAAACCTTAAGGGAAAGCACCACAGAGAACTGCAGAGAAAGGGCTGTGAGAACAGCAGGTGTTCATGGCAACGGGACTGGAAACCACCAGAAACTCAGCACATCTCCAGTAAAAATTGCTACAAGTTTAAGCTGACAGAGGCAGGGTTAGAGGGGGTATCAGGCAGGAATTCTTTCCTGTGAGTGTGGGTAGGCCCTGGCACAGGGTGCCCCTGGATCCCTGGAAATGCCCAAGGCCAGGCTGGATGGGGCTTGGTGGAAGGTGGCCCTGCCCATAGACAGGGGCCTGGAATTAATCTCCAAGGTCCCTTCCAACACAAACCATGCTGTGGTTTTACACAAAGCACAAACCATGTCACTCCAAAATGTCCTTCAGTTATACTGCAAAGTATTTTGGAGGCAACTGTTATAAAACGTGTATTTTTATATGTACAAAGGGGTTTTTTAAACTGTAAGTCTAGGAAGTTGCTTGGAGAGGCAGACATAAATGCTGTTCCACATCTCATGATTACAAAACTACCAACTCACAGAGCATCTGGTGATCAATAGCCAGAATGGGACACACCAGCCTGCTCAGAGCAAGCCCTGCAATCTTTGCACAGTTTCTCTGATACCACAAAATCTGTGGGTCAGGATCCCACACGACCTTGACAATAGCATCCAAAAGTGCACTACTTGAGGATGCCTAACACAAGCTGCCAACTGCTACTGCATCCCAGAACCTTCATTCCTGGTGAGAAGCAGAGCCACCTGCTGAGAACAAAGCACTCAAGGCACAGAGTGCAGTGCCTGGCTGAGCAGTGACAGGATTTGCATGTTCCCTGTCAGGGAAGGGAAACTCACCCCGTGGCGGTTCCGCTGCCTTGGGCTGAGCCTCGGGCGCCGCTCGTGCCGCCGGGGCACGGACATGGCTTTGTGGGGCACTGATAACTCCAGCTCGAGGAGGAACGGTCTGCCAGCAAAGGTGGGAAGAACAGAGTACTTCAGTACTTCAGCTTTGGAACTGCAGCCATCTACTGCTCAATGGCTCAGAATAATCAGCATTCTGTCAAAACCTGTTCTTTGATAACAGCTGCTCAACTCATCTTGTGTGCACGTGCAGGAACAAAGAATAGATTTCCAAAACACAGTGATGGTTCAATTCAAAACAAAGGATTTTTACAATGCTTTTTAACTTTATAGAAATACTTACCTGTGCAACAATGCTAGAAACAGTTATTTTTTTGCTAATATTAATAAGGTAATTTACCTAAGTCCACAAATTGTAAGCAACAAAACCAACAAGAGCAACTAGTTTATTTGGAGGCCTGTTTCTCATCAAACAGTACTAATGAAACACATTCTGCATCACCTGAAGGCTGCAGTCTTCCTGAAGCTGATGGAATAGGAGTTAATATGCTGGAAATGTAAATTTCCAAGTCTACATCAGTCTTTGAAGAGACACAGGAAGCTATTCCAGGTTACAGCTGAAGCAGAGTAAATTACAAACAACACAGTGAGAGCTGAATAAAGGCCCTGGGATCAAAGGAAAAAGGACTGTGAGGCAGGAAGGATTGTGAGACAAGTTTGTAAGACTTGCTTCCTGTAAAATGTTGTGTACCAGAGGACATTCTAGAAATGGCTTTCAGAGCAAACTCCATTGCACAACTGTACACAAAAATTAATTAGCAACAAGCAAATACTATAAAAATAGTATAATTATTGATCTTAGTTTTACTAGAAATGTCTCTGGCTTTGTGCATCACTTTGTGAGTCCTTATGCTTGGCTGGGTCCATTGACCAACGTTCTGGACTCTTTCAGCTACCTAATCTCATAAACTCCTGTCTGAATTTCTCAATCTCCAATCTGATCTGAGACTGCCAAGATGCATTTTGTTATTTCTTTGAATATTCTGACAGTAGGCAGGAGGATGGTTGGGTCATACACCAAAATAAAAATATATCAAAAAGGAACAGAAAAGAAACCAAGTGTAAACCAGCTCTCAGGATGCCTCAGTGGGAAGCAGCACCCACTGTAGCTACTGTCCCTGGTCCTGAAATCCTTGAGATGAAATCCAAAAATCACCTGGGACAAAGGCAAGCACACAGTGAAAAATGAATATATTCTTTCCTATATACACCAGTTTTTCTTTATCCAAATTTTAGAAGAGGCCATTTTACATTGCCAGAAAAATAATTTTAAAAAAAGCCAAGATCGTGAATTGTTCACTGTGAGAATCAATCTCTTTGAGAAAAATGAATCTGTAAAATTTACTGCAATGGAGACTTTCAACAGCAGTTTTCAGCAGTTCCAATAGTGGAATGTGCTGCAAAGTCAAAGAATTATCAACAGACAATGCCATTACTCAGTAACTCTTGAAGAAGACCTGTGGCTATTCAAACACTTTTCTCTTCCCTCACATAAGGCTCCTGCTTGCTCCTGGTAAGAAAAAGCTAGGCAGATGGATTTTATCTCTTGATTTCCTGTGTGGGGTGAAGCACCTGAATGCCCATCAATCCCTTCATTCCCTCCTTCAGTGCAGTTCCACAAATAAGGCAGTGAAACACAGGACTAATATCTGCTGAAACAGTTGCATGTTTCATTTTCACATGAAGGCCCTTATGAAAATTAGTCTTTACAACAAGGTACATAATTAGATCTCAGTTGCACATGTAATCCATTAATGGCCTGTCAGCAATTAACTGCTGGCACAATTTACATTCCAGTACAGAGGATAATGCATTTTATCACAGCAAATCAGTAAGGACATAGAATAACAAGAGTGACCTTGCAGTTATTTAAAGGAGATGTACAACGTGCATTTGGGAGCCCGTCGTGCGCTTGCAGAGTGCAGAACAGTCAAGTCCCAGTCTGAGCACACACGGGGTTCGCCCCATCCCACAGTGGTTTTAGTCAACAGACAAACTGTGACCTGCCCAGTGACCTGTGTAGTTGCTCACACGTGTAGTGACTACCAGAAACAGACGTGACAAAGAGCAGACAGTGAGCAGGACACGATCTCCAAGCAGCACCTACCGGTCTGGGGGTACCCGCCGAGGGAGGAGGCTGATGCCGAACTGCAACAGAGAGCACAGATTACTGACTCAGCACCCACTGCAAAACCAACCTCTGTCTCTGCTACAGTTAGTGCAAAGCACGCGTCTATTACCTAAGTTCTCCTTTCTCTGTGTTCCAGGGCTTTTTTGTGCTTTGCAGCATGGAAAACAAACAGATTATCTGGGTTAGATAAGCCACAAATGGGTATTAGAGGGCAGTGTTCCACCACTACTACTGGGAATGGAGGCAAGGAGAGAGCAGTGATTGTTCAAAAACCTATTACACATCCAGGAGCTGTCACTCACACACTCCCACCCCATGGCACACAGGAAGTCATGTGCCCCTTTTATTCCACATGATTTAACTCACATCCTATTTGTTGCAAGCTAAGGTCACCACTTGTACGGGTCCCCGTGTGCTCAGTCGTGTTGGATGGAAGTGTTTTGATTTCTGGTATATCCTGTAGGGGTGCTACCAGCAGGGGTTAGAGCAGAGAGAGCTGATGTGACAGTGCCTGACCCCGCTCTGTGTTTATGGGATAGATGTGTCAGAGCCCAGCTTCACCGTGGCCACGCTGATGGCAGCCCTCAGGTGCAACACTCTAACTGGGCAGGGCAAGAGGTGGAAAAAGCACCTCGGGTTCAGACAAGCCCACCATTTCTAACAGGCAGGGAGCTTTAGGATTCTGGCTGGCCTTTCTGCTGCTTGTTTCCCAGGAAGGCAAAGGCACCATCCAGTGACAGTAAGTGGAACTCTGTGGTGCATCACACAGCTCATCAAATCAGCTTCAGCTATCAGCCTGCCCTGGAGCCAGTCAGAAGGGGTTTCTGGGGCTGTTCTCAGTGCAGCAGCTCCCACCCTGAGCAACCTGGTGCCAGTTCACCCTCCTTGGAGCAGAAGCTGGAGTGCATAGCCACCAAGGGCGCCTTCCCACCTCAAATATGCCACACGTAGAGTGGCTTTGCCAATTCAGCAAAATGAACCAGCAATGCAGCCAAAATTAACTGTACTACACAGGAGGAAACCCTGCCAGTGACTCTATCAGGACCTGCATTGCTATTTGCTGTGAAGGACGCTCCTGAGAGACAAGGAAGAAACCCAAGGCCATGACTCTGCTGGCACGGCTAAAGCAGCACCCATCCACAGTAATTCCATGTACTCCAAGCGGAAAGGTGCAAGAGAAATGCTCTCAGAACTGTGTGTTACACACAGCTGGCTGTCACAGTCAAAACACCTACACTGGGCTCTTCAGAAAGAGGCAAAATATGAAATTATTGACCAAACTGCTTCCATGGAAGTTTCTCTCCCCAGAATATACAAACACACATGGTCCTTTATGCAAAGTCAGGCTCTCTAGACTCCTGATTTAGTTACAGGTGCAATGGTCACTCTGATGACCAGGCAGCTGCAGCTTCCTCCGAGGGACAGCCTTAAAAGCATTCTTGATTAGAGCTCCCCAAGTTTCACTGAGCTTTTCACAAATGCCTTCTGTAACAATCCCCACCACCACTGAGAACCAGGGAGAGCCCGGCTGGGTGAAATGCTAATAAAAGAGCAAAGATCCTACATGATAAATGCGTTAATGAAACCACTGTAGTGCCACACGAGCAATAACATTACTCAGATGTTAAATCAGAAATCCATTTCTAGAACACAAAAATTGTTGTTACCTTCTACTTCTCTCCTAGCTACCCCAGGACTGGGAGGAGCTCCAAGACCTTTTCAGAGAAAGAAGAGAAGCTGTACATAGCATAAGAAAAGCAGTAGACTGAGAAAGAAAAAGCATAAAGAACACTGCCAGCTTTACACAGTTTATCTCTGGTCTGGATAGATTACAGTCACCTGCAGGAAATAACTGTTTGTAGCAGCATGGGGAACCAGGCTGGTGTGAATCACAATCCATCAAGTGCAATCATGTTCAGGAACATTGGTTATTTCAATTCTACATTACAGTTGAAAGTGAGTTTCATTCCTTCAGAATGTTCACTCTCCACAAATGTTTGTCTACCCAGTGGCATCTGACATCCAGTCTTGAACCTCTCATGAGCAGAGCACAGAGCTGAGCTCAGACACTGGGGAATAAATGAGCACAGCACTTTGACCCTGCCAAATCAAGCCTGATCCCTGTCATGCAGAACACTGAGCAGCCTGTTTGTGCCACGGTACATCTGAATAGGAAATGTGACCAAGCAATACTTCCCACCTCATACCATGTACTTTTACTGAAGAACTGTCTTACTGAGGGGCCTCGACACAGCACTGGGCACTGTGTAGAGGCCCCTCAGTTTGGTTTAACAGTTGGACCCATTGGTTTAACAGTTCAGATTGAGAGAAAAAACATTTTCAATCATGCATAACCATGCTGAACTACTTTATTTCTGCAACATCATCAAGCATGCACCGGGTTCCTAAAAGTGTATGGCAAAAACACAGCAGAATATATAGACATGATGGAAATACTGAAGGCATCCCCTAGCTGGGACAGAGCCTGCTGCTGCTGATTCCATCCCCTAGCTGGGACACAGCCTCTCCTGCTGCTGAATCCATCCCCTAGCTGGGACACAGCCTGCCCCTGTGTCACCATGTGTGAGATGTGCCCAGGAGTTCCCTGTGATCTGTGAGTCACAGAGTGGGCAGAGTGGAGGCTGCACATGGGGCTGAAATGGGACTGGCTCCAGAGATGTCGTATCTCTGCTTTGGCTGAGCATCTGTTTCAAAGATGCTGAACCCCACCATGTGTTATCTGTTCTAGCTGAGAGCCAGGCTCTGCCAACTCCCATCACAACTCTGACCATGAATAACTGTGAGAGGAGCAGCAGTGAGGCTGTGCAGGAGCAGGGCCCTGCCTGACAGCATCCTCTGCTCCTGTTCTGCGCAGGAGGAGGACAAAGGCAGCTCCTTCCTGCAGCAGGGACACACGGGCACACGTTCCTGCGTCCGTGCACCAGACAGGCAGCAAGATCTCTGGCACGAAGATTGGGCAAGGTACCCAGCATCCACTACAAGGGACAGAAACGGCACAGAGGGTAAATACCTGACATTTCACGTACTCATAGTTCTCTTCAATAGTGAGAAAGCAAAATTATCGTGCTCTGATAATGCTATCACAAAGGGCAGCATGGGAATGTTCCCATCTTAGGGACAATGAAAAGCAGTTTAAACCAATGATAAAAGCCTGGGCTGCAACAATCAGGAAAGCTCTGACTACTACTATTAAAGGAAAAAACCCCACAAATATTATTTATTAACTTCAATTGACAATTAGCAGCCTCTATGGTTTTTAATGTTCTCTGAAAATTTAATCTGTAATGTATTAAAAAAATATGGGGTAAACAGAGGGTAACATTTTAATTTTTAACTATAAACAACTGGAGCTTGTAGAATGCTCAGTGAAATTTTTTTGGCATTAACATACAAAAGGTCTACACTTGGTAAAGCCCTGCAATGAGTGCAGAGCCTTGTTCACCTGAGTTCTGAGTTACTTCTGATATAAAATATGACCAAACAAACACTTAGATGCCCAAATCCTTGTCTCATCCTCAAAGCATACTGAGGCATTAGAAAAAGTGCCATGGGCATTGAAAGGACTGAAGCACTTGGGGGGAAAAAGGTCAAAACATGTGAGGGAAAAAATAACATTTAAAAGGCACATTTTAAAGACATGATCAGTGTCTCTTGGCATGTGCTATGGAAGCCTAAACTCCAGGTCTGAGCCACTTACACACTCCACAGGGATATTTCCACAGAGCTCTCAGAGCCTTGCTCCTAGAGGAGAGAAACAGGTGCCCTTTCCCACTGAAGTCACCCATAAGGACACTGATTTTGGTCCCAGCCCTGTGCTAACTTGCTTGGAGCTGAGCTCAGATACCCATGAAAATTGGCCTTGATGCTTACACATGTACACCATGAGTGGAAAATGGAGAGCAGAAAAAAGTGAAGAGCTTTTGGTTGGAATAACATATGAAAAAATATACTACAGTCTCAAATGATTGCATAAAAAGCAAGTTTTATGCAAGCTACAGCTCCATGGAAAGCTATGCTGGGAAAGGTGATGAAAGAAGACAACTGAGTAGTCTTTGCACAATTGAGACAAGCTAGGCAAACAGGATTGTGTCAGTGCACAGAACACTACACAGCACTGCAGAACAATGAATGAAACCTCACCTATGCTGAATGTGGTCTATCAACTGCTTCCTAAAGCTCCTGCATTTTACCTCATCTGAAACATTCCACACTGGCCATGAAAGCTTCCTTGTCTCACCAGTATCTAAGAGCCAGGCACATTTCTGCCTGACACCCAAGTGAGCTGATAGTTACAGACTATTTAAAATAGCTCATGTATTCTCTGAGATCACTCAAAACTCTCCAAGCATTTTGTCAAAAATGCCTCTTTCCTTCCAACGGAGGGGCAGTGCCTGGAAGCACCACAAGCAATTCTCATCCTCTCTCATGTATTGATGAGCTGGTTTAACTCAGCAGGACAGCAAAATGTGGGCCAGGGAAGGACAAAGCCTACTTTGAGAAGCACTTGACAGCAAAGTTACCTGATGTGCTCACCCAGGACAAAGCAACAGAAATCTGAACAACCCTCATCTCTGACTTTAAAATACCAACTTCTGGAGAAATACTACTTCACCAGAAAGTGAAACGTAGTTCAGAGGGGGGAGAAAGGAAAGACAGTGACATTAATGAATTCTCTAGTTCTGCAACTTTGAGAACTTCCCATTTTTACACCTTTGGAAATCATCATGTTCAGTATTGTCACAACAGATCCCCACAGCAGTTTGGCTATGCAGTCATATTCAAAAACAATTAAAATCATTACCTCCAAATTCTTTTCTAGCAGGTGCAGGACTCCTACCGCCTGACAGTATTTAAGAAATGAATGCAGCAATAATGAGAAATGTCAGTGTAGTAGGAGGGAAGAAAAAGAATGAGAAAGTTAAAAATCACAAGGGTCACTTGGTTATTAACTATGTTGCCCAAATGCTTCTGAACATCCAGTTTCTCTTAGAGCTCAATTGTTCACATTGTCAGATGATCCAAATGAACTCTACATTCAAAACTTGGACATGACACAACACATATATACTGATGCCAAAATTAAAGGAATAGCAATGGACCAATGAATGCACAAGTTATTTCTATTTTACTTTAAAATAGATGCTATAAAAAATGAAAATGTTGAGTCAACATTGCTGTAAAATTTCACATTTTTAAAACTGAAAATAAGTTTCTATAAACTTATTCACCAATAATATTTAAATGGTAAAAACACTGTTATTTCCCACGCTGTTATTGCTTTTAAATGTACCAATTAAACATCGCAATTAAAAAACCAGTGAGCCCAAGGTGCAATACGCACTTTGGGTTTGCACTTTCAAGTCCCTCTCACAGACTTGAGAGCAGATAAATATTCCTGAGCAGCTGGGAAGGTCCCCGTTACCTGAGGGGGAGCCGGGCGCTGCGGAGGAGCCGGACAGGCAATGGGCAGCAGTGGGCACCCAATGGGCACCCAGGGGTCAGCAGCGGGCACCCAATGGGCACCCAAGGGTCAGCAAAATAAGGCCCCCGTTACCTGAGGGCGGGGGCGGGCGCTGCGGCGGAGCCGGACGGGCAGGAGGCGCCACGGGCCGAGGGGGCGGAGGGCGCTTGGGCTCCAGGCTCTGCGGAGCCTCCTTCTGCTGGGCACCAGCCTGCAATTCAGCTGGAGGATAGGGCACAAAACAATGCAAAAATTAGTGCCTGGGACATTGCAAAGACAGCAAAGCTCTCCTAATAGCGAGCTTCTCACAGAGAGGACAGTCAGGCCCCAGGCTGGGAAATAACAACATGCAAGTTTTTGAGACAGGGAAAACAAGAGGAATGAACCAATGATGAAAAGAAGCAGATTTCCTAAATCAAAACTCTTGCCCCATATGTTTTAATAAATTTACGTTTTTCATGAAATCCTCAACAATCTTGCCAATTGCAGCATTCCAAATTTTGATTTTGACTCTTACCTGTGAACCAAGTTGTCTGGAAAAAATGCAACAAAGGGAACTCTCAAGGCATTTGAACAGTTAAACAAAATAAGAAGCCATTCCAAGCACCATCACTGTGTCCATGTTCATAACTTAAAACCAGGCCACGTTTAAACAGAAGTTTTCACATTGTGCTCCCCATTTACAAATGTGCTGATTACAGTTTATAACTTGGAGCTGGCAGGAGCAGGGATTGCCAGGGGCTGTATTCCGAGAGATGACTGGGGTGAACCAGGATCCTACAGATCCGCTGCAGCAGGACTGGGCTGTGGCAGTGTGCAGTACCCACCTGGCGGGCACGCAGGGCCCAGGAGCCTCTCGGGGCAGTGCAGTACCCACCTGGTGGGCACACGGGGGGCCCAGGAGCCTTCCCTGGGGCCCGGCTGGGTCTGGCTGGCAGCGCGGGTCCCTCCGGCAGCGTCGGGGACTGGCAGGGGCTGGAGCGCGGGGAGGAGCTCGGGGACGTGCCCAGCCCGGAGCTCGACGTCGGCTGCAGGTGCTGGGGAAGGATTTCCTCCACTTCAGCGCTGTAGTCATCGATGTCTCCTGAAAAACAAACCCCAGAGGAGAGAAACACACAAAAGCTGACTCTGGACATGAGATTTTGTGCAGGAAAAGCCCCAAAGTTCCAAGGAATTAGCCCAGCAACCAAAGTGTGATTCTCGCATCCCAAAATTACACATGAAGAACACAAACGCATTCAAACCAGCTGAAAATACTTCAAGTGTGCAATACATATTATAGATAGATATTAAAGGTAATTATAACAGCGTGGCAATTGTGAAGTTGATTAAGCTCAAACAATTATCTTCACAGGGTATTTCCTTGGTTTGCAATGTGGCAAGCTTCACTTGCTCATCAGAGAGCCGGGCAGGGGATTTCAAGGTATCTGTTATTTGTAACAACTTGTGCTTGCAAAGGGTGGAACAGTGTTTAAAAAAGGCTCAACATGGATGTGCTTTTGAAGAGTAAACTGTCAGTTTAGAATATATTAAATGTAGATGAGAGTGAAGCAGATTGTTGAGATACTGTTGAAAATATTGTGATTTCTCATCTGTTTTAGATGGGCATGGACATAGTTATATATGCATTAAATTACCCACATTATTCAGGACTGTCAGCATTCCAAAGTAAGGAATGCTTTATCTCAACAAACCTTCCATGTCATAGTCTGCAGTAACCTCAGCATCTTCACAAAGCAAGGTGGAGCTTGTGGATGAAGGCAGCCCAATATTAATCTTTTCTAGATTCATTTCATCTTCCAAACTTCTGATCCAATCTGGATTTTTCAAGTTGATATTTATAATCCTTCCTTGTATCTGCATTGCCAAAAAAAGGTATGCACAAAACAGAAGGTGTTTAGAGTAAGAATGTTAAAGCTCAGCATTTTAGGTTTAAAAACAAAATACTAATTCCTGAAAATACCACAAATAAGGTTATAGGAATTTCTGTGACTAAACAAAAATAATTCTGGTTTTCCCTTCATTTTGGTACCTACATTTAAGTAATTTAAACTGTTCATTACAAGCGTTTAAATTTCTTTGGTAGAAAAACTTGCAACTCATGTCCTACGGTTCTCCTTTGCAGTTCATCAGGAAGCTTCTGGGTTTTTTTACTCTGACACTATTACTTATAGACAAAACCAGACTTGCTTATGAACTGCATGAATAAAGTCATTGTTAGAGGCTAGCACAGAGCAGGCCCTCCTTCTGTAAAGGGACATTCTAGCCAGAGCCCCTTTCCTGTCTGACCTGCCAGGGACATCTCAGCAGATCCAAGGATCCACCTGTAAACACCACACATTCCAAGTCCTAACAGCACAGACTAGTGACACTTTAAACATCAGAAGTTAAATTTTCACCAGCATTAAATACTGACCCCATAGAAGTCAATGCAAGCTGAAATTTTGACATTTTTCAGAGTTTGTAGTATACAAGTGCTACATTTTTAATAACTGCAGGCTATAAAGATTTTAACTGGTTAATTCCAGAAACTAAACTCTACTTTTTAAATCATAAAAGACCCCAAACCCCTCATTTGATGAGGATGCCTCTCAGTAGATCTTAATTTATTTTTAGGAGGAGTATTGTTAGAGAAATGAGGTTTGATGCTTCTTTTATATGGCTTTTGAAGCTCAACATATGCTATGTGGCTATTGAGAGGAAAAAAAAACTGCAGCAGTCTAGTACAGAACAGAAAAAACTCCTAAGAATCCAAGACAAACAATAAATCCAACCCACTCAAGAAGATTTAAAGCTGGATTGTCCCTTGCTATACAAAGGTTCAGTCATTTTTACATTACCTCAGTGCCATTCAAATTCATAACATTCAGAGCAGAGCTTCCTTCCAAAAATGTTACCCACATCTTGTCTTCCACAAACCTGCAAAGTTCATTGGAAACAATAAGCACAAAACACCACAACGCTTCACAGTACAACTGCTAGCCTAGTGCAGATGCAACATCCTTATCTACACCTCATTTACAACTACTAACCTAATGCTAGAATACAACATTTGTATAAAATTCTCAACAATAAGGGTATCTGGAAAAATCATGTCTGAAAACTGAGACACACAGAAATGAATTCTAAAGACATTTACGTATGCAAAATGAATTCTAAAGACACTTAAGTTGAAATTCAAATGCTAAAAATTAAACAGATCAGAACTGAGAAGTTATTTCCTACCTAAGGAAATAAGTTTATTCAGGATGATCCCTTTCAACCCAAACAATTCCATGATTCTATAAGCAGAGATTAAAAGCAAGAAGTTTTTTTTTAACCTTATAAGTATAACTTCGCCATAGCTTGCGAATTTTTGAAGAAGATCATCGATCAAGTTATCATCAAAATAGTTTTCTTCAGCTGAAGAACTTCTGATGGAGACCATCACAGTCCCATCAGGGGGACCTTGCATTGCAATCACCTCCTTGTACACTTTTTGTCTCTCTTCTGCTTCAATTTCAAATATGTCAATGTCAATCAGTGCAACCACGGGCCTTGGAAAAAAGAGGCGAGAAAGTCCTGTCAGCAGAGTATGTGAGCAACAAAACCCACAGCATGAGTAGTCAGTCCCAGGGAGTGATGGATGAAATGGAACTGGAACCTGTGATCAGATGTCTTCAGCTCTGCTCTCCCGTAGTGCAGCAAAGTGCCAGGATTCCACGTGTAAGGGACATTAGTGTCACTGTGGAAACTGGCATTCAGGAGATCCAGGTCTTCAGCTGCAGCCAGCAACAGAAACAAAAGAGGAAAGCCACAGTGATTGCAAGGATGTGCTATTTGTAGAAAGAAAACACATAGCGAGTAAATCCCAATAGAGTGTGCTATAGAAAACTGCTCCAAGTTCCTTTTCCACTCCTCGAGTGTCAGTGAGTGGGACCTGATTCACAGCCCTTTTCCCAGCCTCACTGCGTTTACTGCAGGTGTGTTAGCAGTGCTCTGTACCCTACCAAGCAGGAACAGGAGCTCAGCATCAGTGGCATTGTGAGCACCCCTAAATGCCCCCTCTGAGTCACGCACGGAACACGGCAGGCAGCTGAAGGAAAGCCCCAAACCTGATCGGTCGAAGGGCCACTTCCTCCTCCTCCAGAGGATGCGATCCGTCCAGGCGGGCGTGCGGCACTTCTCACTGGTGTCATAGTCATCAGAGAACAGGTCGTACTTGTACGTGGGGGCAAAATTGATCTTCCCCTCCAGAAACCCCCGAAAAATCTGTAAAGCCAGAAGGGAAACAGCTGGAAACTACCCCAAATCCTCTATTCTAACACTGACAGCCTGTATCGACACCTCTAAACAAAACTTCAACACCTGCTATTTGTTAAAATGGATTCCTCTCCACATTCTGGCTGCTGAAAACACTGGACACTATGACTAACCAGTGACCCAGACAGCCATCAGTGACCAGAGCTACGCCAGCAGTTGGATCTTTAAGGCCAGGCTTAGGAACAACCTCCTGCTCCTTCAGTGTCATGACCAGCTGGAGGCCACCCAGAACACTGATGCTGTAACACAGCACTTCAATCTGGTGCTTATTTGTTCCTGGGTCAGCAAAAGTGGGGAATTAAGGTGTACATTTTATGGCCTTGATCTATCTGAACATGCCAAATTTTCCCACAAATTCACAGCCACACACTGGTTGGGGTTGGAAGGGACCCTAAAGATCACCCTTGGGCAAGGATGCCATTCACTAGACCAGGTTGCTCAGGGTGCCATCCAAACTGGTCTTGAACACTTGCAGGAAAAAGTTGACACAAGTCACCCCTTCAAATAAATAGGTTTAAAAGAAAAATTCAATCTATTCAAAGTGAGCTTCTCACTCATTAAGTGTTTGAACTGGACACAAGATAAAACCCTTTAGCTAACCCAGTCAGCTCCATTCTTGAGTTCAGCCTTCCATGGGCACAGATTTCTGCAGCTTTGTAATTGCTGGAGGTGTCTCCAAAACCTCTACACATCCTGTTTTGATCCACTTAACAGACAATCTGACAAACACACAGTGCTGTCTGACCGTGTGAACCTGTCCCTTGCTTTCTCTAGCAAACAGCTGCTAAAAGAAGTTGGAGTGAGTAAAAACATCCAGTGTTTTGCCTCCTGTTCTGGTGCACAAATGGAAGGGAAATGAGCAAACTCTAAATCAGCCAAAGCACTGCTTGTGATCAAAGTGCTGGTGAGCAGACAGAACCAACAATTGAGGACTGTCTCTCTTTTTACCATATCCAGCCTTCCCACATTGCAGGGCTGCACAGAGAGAACAAGAAACCCTACAAATCTAAAAAATGTAGCTTTCTTCACCCTTGGTTATTCCATGTTTTCTTTGCAAATTAAAAAGCTACCATTTGGACTAGTCCTTTTTCCAACAGTAACAGCATTAGGCCTGTTACAACTTAACTCAAGAGTAACATTAGCAAACATTAGAGGTATTCTTTTTAAATAGTTACATCTGACAAAAAGAAAAACATTATAATTAGAATACTCCATGCTGAGGATACAGATTTATGGGAGCATCATAGCAATTGCTAAACCCAGTAAAAGAATGAAGCATTCCCAAGTAGGTGACGTTTGAACACACCTGGCCAGAGTTTTTCTGGTTGATCAGCTGGTCTCCTGCTATGAGGGGATCCCAGTTCTGCTGTCGGATCAGGTCCTTCACCTCCTCATTGGGCAAATCTATTCGATAGTTGAAGTCCCCGCACCAAAAAATGTAGTCATGGGAAAAGAGCATCCTTCCCTGGAAAACAGCAGCACACACTGGAGGCAGAAGCAACTGACTGACACAGTTACTGCCTCTAGGTACAGAAACTCAGGCTTCTGCTGCAAAATATGTATCATTTCTGAGTGATGGAAACAACTGCAATACACCCTAGTATTTAGTGTCCCTATGATTAGAACAACATGGTCAACAGCGTGGTGTTTACATATGGAACACACGAGAAGTGACATTTCCTATGGAGTTTCCATTTGTAAAGAAACACCAATCAAGTGAATTGGATTCTGAAACTCTTCATCTTCCTCCTCCTGTTTCAGAAGTCTGCTCAAAGGTGATGGCTGCTGCCTGTGACAGAGGAGAACAAAACACCCCCTGGGACTCTGTGTCACAGTCTCCTGACAAACTGCAAATCCAGAGCTCTACCATTCACCTTTAGTTGAAGACTTTTCAGTTACATCTGATTTTCATCACTAGAGAGAGACAGAAGGGCTTTATGAGTTTAAACAAAGCCCAGGTTTTAGAGTGAGAACTTGTACTTCTCCGTTTGTTTTGCTTTTTCCACTGCCCATAAGTAAAACCAAGCAGATACACTGGCAGATTGAAATAACAGCATTTAGCAAACTGTTGGATACTTGCTAGGAAAACTGGAACGTGACAGTTGGGACAAATTTAGAAAATAAAAAACTCCTGTAAAATAAGATGTAAGACTCCTGCACAGTGCCACAGAAATTTATAAATTACAGTTTGATGGCAAAATTTACATCAGCTTTAAGTCTCAAGGGAGCATTTTGTTGCACTGGTAACAGTTTCAACTTGGTGATTTGATAATGAGAACATGGCGTTTGCTCATGAGAACATGGCATGGCTGTGTACTGAGACAGGGCTCTTTGACAGGGCTCTTTCCTCAGAGGTGATTGTCTCCTGTTTCTCCCAAGGTTCTACTGCATGCCAGGGATCTCTAAGGTCTCTTTCCTATGCCAAGTCCTTGATTCCAAATGCAAGTGAATTCATGTTTCATCATGGCAAGGTCTGTTCTTTCTGCAGTCTTCTGTTTTAGTAAACATTGTGGGAACTCAGTTATCTCTGAGATCTCTAACCCAAGGAAATCTGATTTCCACAGGAAGCTGGGGAAGGGGTAAAATGCAAATGGAGCTTTGGGATTACACTGCTGGAGCTCCAAGGGTTTCACTTTTCATTTGTGTGGAATTTAAACTCCATGCTTACCATCGGAAAACCAAGCTTGCGAGAAATTTCTACAAAGTCTTCATTTCTCTCCTTGACTTGGGACTGCCCTGCAGCAAAGTGACTGCACACAAAGCAGAGGCTGGAGGTGTGGAACAGCATCCGAATGGCCACGGCGCCTTTGTTCCCCGTGGCTCCTCCCATGCCAGTCTTGACAGTATCCACAGCCACGTCCCTGAAACAGGGGAACAGCTGTTACACCTTCCAGGAGCTGGCACAGCTGGCTCCATGTGACACTGGGCTGGAGGGACACGTCGTTCTCCCAGCCACAGGGCTGGTCTTAAAAAGTCCCAACAGGCACTGAGCATTGACAAGATAAAACCTCCGCTTGTCAAGCTCTCGGGGCCACCACTGCCCTCTGGGCATTTCAAAACTAAGCAAAGAACTTAACCGCCAGACGTGCCCAGAACCACGCGGGGCGCTGCTGAGAGAGCTGTCCACCTTCTGCTGAAGCACTGGTTTATCTCCCCACACAGGGCACGCTGCGGTGACCCAGCTCACTGACCTGATAAAGGGAGCGTGCTGGGGCCTGATGAACACGAAGAGGCAGACACCCACCAGCTGCTCCGAGGCCAGCAGCACGTACTTGTAATCCCTGGAGATGGTCTTCTGCAGCTCTGCAGCCCACAGCTTCTGGTTCGTGGTGCTGGCAGGGAGATCAAAAACACCAGGTTGGCAATAGACCAAACTGAGCAGGTTTCTAGCTGCTGATTGAGCTGACTGAGCTACATCCCAGGACCTGAAGGAAACCTCGAGGCAGCAAAACAAAGCCAAGCTGGGAATGGTGCTCCAGTGGCTCCCAGCAGAGACACAGGCTCCAGGCTGTCATGGCATCATTGCAGCCTCTACACACACCGCCTCACTTCTCCCAACACCACAGACAACCTCAGGAGCCATGCCTAGCTTTGCTGTATTTCCAAGCCCAGACTAGAGGAGGAAAACCTGGAATTGTTTTAGAGAGTTACTTCCTAGCCTAGAGCTCAGTCAATTGGAAAAAAGGTGGAAAAATATGAAAATATGGAAAATATCAGGCCTGGAAACAGCATTAACTAGACAAAGGGTGAAATCAGGGGATGACAAGCTGACATTTGGTACCCAACAGACAAAACCCTGCACAAAGGCTACAGTATCATAGGCTTTATGTGCCCTTCCAATGAGTTAAACCTTCCCTAACACCCGGAAACGTGCAAAGCAGGCAGAGAAAACAATGGACAACGGGAATATGGTCCTAGGACTACACACACGTTTATGTCTGGTATCACCCACCACTGGGAAAAACGTATTTCTGAACCCAGTCTGCTAGGAGTGAAAAATCCCAACTCCACAGTAACGTATCCATGCAGCAATACATGGAATGGCAGTGCAAACCAACAGTGTGGAAGGAAGCCTTCCTTTGTGCAGATCACAGCCTGATACACAACAGCACAATGACAAGACACGCTTTTGGGAAGATGTTCACAGGACTCGCTGGTAACAGCAACACCACACACAGGAACTGAGGAACACTGAAAGCACCGGAGAAACCCAAACTTTAAATAACATGACTTGAAACAGTCAGCCAAACAAGGACTGTGTGGATTGGATCACCCACCTGGCGTTCACAATGTTTCCTGCATTTAACTCCACCATTTCTTCAAATCCAATGGCAAATATGTCCACAGGTTTGTTTTTGCGATCTTGAGGTAAATAGGGAAAAGGTTATTTCTTGTTTCTAATTAACTAACAATCAAGACCTCATATAGATATATATATTCATTCTAAGGAAAAAAATTCCTTCTTTGGAAAGAAATTGCTTCCTGTGAGGGAGGCACAGGGTGCCCAGGGCAGCTGTGGCTGCCCCTGGATCCCAGCAGTGCCCAAGGCCAAGCTGGACAGGGCTTGGAGCAGCCTGGGACAGTGGGAGGTGTCCCTGCCCATGGCACAGCGTGGAACTGGATGGGCTCTATGGTCCCCTCCAACACAAACCAATGTGGGATTCTGTGAAATTCCAGTTGCTTTTAAATAAATGCAGATTTTGAAAGACTTGTTTCTCTGGCAGGGGGTGGAGCTGGATCTTTACAGACCCTTCCTACACAGTTCTACACTTGTGTGATACCTGTTTCAATGTTTGTGACCTACTTAGATAAATCAGAGCTCTCAAGGAAAGGCAGTGACAGAACACAGATCCTACCTTGGAATTCATGGATTCCAGCCAGCTTGGGTGCATCCAGCAGCCAGTCAGTGAGGGTTTGATTTCTGAAGGCAATGCTCCGGAACTGCTTCCCCCCGTTGACATTCCACGTCCCAACACACACTCGGATCTTCTTGGGTTTGGCATACTTATAGAAGTTCTCACACATGCTCTTCAGCACTTTTACAGATGCTGCAAGAACATTTGAGAAGACATTACACTTTTACAGAGAATGTTCCAGAAAGCCTGGCACCGAGATCTTCCCAATGCACGTGCACAGACAAAGCTAAACTGCCAAAGCACAAGGAATGCAGCTTTCCCAGGGAAAGTGCCCTGAGACACACACTACTGACTGAAAAACAGCAGCAACTGGTTCAGAATGACATGGACAGAAGTGATCCATGAAGGAAACAATCCCATGTTCTATAAATATCTCTTGTTCTTTCATCTCATCCACGACTTTCTAGGGAAAGCATCGTTTTTTGTATATATATATATCTGCCTTATTTTCACAGATTAAATTCATGAAATCCAATCTCTGTTACAAAACCAACATGCACATAATATTAATTTCCAGAGGTGTAAAAGTTGCTGATACACTACAAGTACTAAAATAGAGAAGGTACATAATTTCATTGTATCAGAGTATGTCTATTTAAGCCACAAATCTGAATTATTTTTACATCAGTTGAATTCCTAAAGAGCTGCTTTAGTGAGGACAGTGGGCTGGGATTCAAACTAATTAAACTCATTTCTCTGTCCCATCAGCCTTTCCCTGTGCCAAATGAAGAGGGAGGAATGACCCACATGTGAAGGACATTGTGAGAAACACAGAAAGGAAAAAAGCTGATTTCAGTGCTCAGGTACTTTACCTTCGTTATATTAATTTACCTATTTTGAATGTTCTCATGTTATCAGGCTCCAAAAGAGCAATATAGAAAATATTAGATGGAATTCTTCCCTTCACCTGTTGCTGTCTTGAAAAACAGTTACTGGGAACAGCATTTCCATGTAAATTCCCCAAATAAGATGCTTAGTGAGCTGCTGCTGTTTGTTCAGTTACTCTTGGCTACCTGGTCAAAACAAAAATCAGGTATTCTCTATCCCTACTGGGTTGGAAAAAAACTGGGAGCAAGAGAAGAAAATACATTGTGTTTGTTGGCTGCAAATGCTCTCCCTGCTGGACAAATCCCACACTCATAACTGGGCCAGCCACACAGAAAAGACAAGGAACTGGTTGGTGTCTCCCTGGGCTGCTCCAAGCTGATCATGCTTGGGATCATGCTTTCTTCATCAAAACCCAGGGAAATGAGTCTAGAAAACAGCAAGGAGCCAAGAGGATCACTGAGCCCTCCAGCACGAGGGTCAGAGCCCAGACACGGGCTCTGCTTCTGCCCCACACTGCAGGTGACTCCAGCCAGGGAATCCAGCAGTCCCAAAAGGCACAGAGGGTCAAGGGCAGGAGCCACCTCAGCACCCAGCCACTGAAGGGAACAATCCCAGCAATGCTGCAGCCACAGCACACCCAAAAACCCAATTATCCCAAGGGCTGGCTGGAACCACACCAGCAACCCCAGGAACCCAACGCAGCCGTGCAGCCCTGCAGAGAGGAGCCTCTGCAGCAGGCTGAGCCACTTGAACAGCACAGTCTGCACCTTCCTCCTCTGGGCTTCCATCTTTTCATGCTGAAAATTGACTGGTGTCAGCTTCATTGTAGCTACTCCAAATCAGCCAGTTGCTACTGCAAAATTTCATTATTGCCTATTTAACCCCTGATGTTGTTATGAGACCCTAATGTGAAAAGCCTTACCAGGTTAGACTCTAACATTAGAAGTCAACTGACAACAAGCTTATTGCAAACAAAAAAATTATATCTTCAAACTAGCAGTCTTCCTAAACTGTAGAATGACTTTTTTTAGAAATTTGAGTAACTAAAAATAAAAATCTCTACTGCCTTCCAAACTACTGAGTGAACCACGTGCCTTTCAGAGCACCCAAGACCATGATTTTCCTACATATTTTTAGTCATTTATCTTTCCACAAAATTGTGCCTCACTCTACAACATCAGAAATCCAATCAGTTAGAGTTTCTGTTATTTGCAGAAAAAATACTTTGACTGCTGCCCTTACTAGGCAAGCAGAAATTTGGAAATCAGTTTTACAAAGGGAGTGTTAATTTAAAATTGTTGGGAATATTCTGTGCAACGGAATGGAACAGTTGGAACCTGCTGGAACTGTTTTACTGAAACATCCAAATTCCTGTAGGAATATTTCAATACATGCAATTCGTACCCAGCTGAAACCCTGAAATGCTAAAAAATAGTTAATTTATAACTCTTACAAAAATTCTAATTCTGATAAATAATAAAAATTAGACATAAATAATAATAATAGCAACAGTAATGGAGAAATGTATAAAAAATAGTTGGCTCTTCTTCCAGAGGTATCAGTGAGAGTAACAAGCCATTGCAATAAGCACTGGTTACACTGAGCAAATGCCAGTGAATCACTCAGCATCAGACAGACATTACCTGAGACTCAGATTGCATTCCTTAGATACTCACTGAGGCTTCAGCAGGTGGAGTAGAACACATACAGGACAAGCAAAATTGGCAAATGAAAAGGCCATTTAAACTTGCTCAATGCACAGTAAATTCTGAATAGATTTTAGAGCATTAGGAATATTTTAGTTTAAAGAATGGTTTCTGGGAACAAGAACAGGAAGTGCTGCATGTCTGACAAGTTTCCTGCATGAACACAACCAGCAAATAAGATGAAATTACAAATTGTACTGAGGAATTTCACCTCTTATCCTAAGCAAAGCAAAAATACAGAAGCCTCCAAATCAGATAAAGAGGAAAATTCCTTTGCAGCTGGAGCATGTGCAAAAAATAAACCCCTGAAAATTGGTTACCTCATTTCCTAACTCACACCCAAGCTCAAATGTAACATTTGGCACCTCTTATATTCTCACTTTTATTGGATGAAAGGCTGTTAGGGCACAGGAATGCCAGATCCAAACACCAGCAGGACAATTGAGCCCATAGCCAAACATTACACAAACAGACACCAGAGAAGCCAGAGGACAGCAGCAGCTGCTCAGGGATTTTCAGTTTATTTTACTGTGCTATACTATACCTGATTGCAATGACTGCTCTGAAACTACGGATGCAGGAAGAGGGAAACAAGAAAAGATTAGTCAAACAAGTTACTGCTTTTTAGGATTTTCCAGCAGTGTGAGAAAACATGCTGTTAATGCACCATTTATTACACATAACCACTGGCATCAGTTCAAGCATATGTTTTGTGCTGCAAAATCCACCCAGTTTCACACCAGCATTAGCAAATCCTCTTCTCCTCCCTTATCAACAATGCAGTCACACATGTTGGGGTACCCCCCTGGTTAACTTGGCACCGGGCACAGAATGCAGGGGGAATTCAGGGAAGAGGGACTAATGCTGCCCAGCTGTCAGGAGCTGCTAACACAGCAGGGACAGCCTGCATTCCCAGAAAAACTGAGAGGAAACGGCAGCTACTTGTAACTAATTTTGGGGTGAGGCCCATTCCCCAGGTTTCAGAGATAAGAAAAAATTCACAATAACCTGAAACCTTGTGCTAAACAAATGGGATAAAACCACTCCCTCGGCCTCCACATCAGCTGAAGATGTGGACCCTCAACATGAAGACTACAGCTGGGCAACTATTTCCCTCCTGAGCCAGAGATTTGCACTGGAGCTTTGGCACATTTTTCCTCATTCTAGGCTAAGATGTGTCCAGGAGAAGGGAAAAAATGACAAGGAAAATTTAAGAATGTTCCCCTAAAAATTGCAGTAACCCAGAATATCATTACCTGGGATCTTGGACAGAAGACTCAAATTTAAGTTCTTCTTTGCCCAGATATGAGCTGCTGCAGTTTTGAACACAGCCCTGTGACTGACCCACTCTTCTCCTGCCCACCAGACTTGCAGAAGATGGGAGTGACTGCAGTTCTGGGGCCACAGGGGCTACACCTCTCTGGGGATGCAGAATGCTGGCTCAGCACCCTGCTCTCACGAGGGGAACCCTCTTCCTGGTACAAAACCCCCAAGACTCACGTGGCTGCTCTCACAAGCAGAGGTCCTTATCTAAGTCTCTCTGGTTTTGATGTAGAACTTGACCCAAAAACCACAGACAGGTAAAGCAATTTCTGCAGCACGTTAGTTTGGCACTATTAGTAAAGCAGAAGTGACTTCCATTTTTTAATAAGCCAAGAGAACATAAAAGAGCATTTATACTTTCCAACAGTGCTTTGAAAACAAACTCGATACAGCTTTCTTACAGCAAACAGTTATGAGAGATGAAAATCCTGAAAGACACATACCGCGTAAACTGCTGGTGGTTAAGAGAGCCCGTGCTTTATCTGCTAAATCACTATTTAGGGTATTTCCCAATAACAAAACATCAATGGCCTCCTGCTTGGAGCTATCAAAAAAGTTATTTTGGATCGTTCTGGTCACAGAACGAGCACCATCCTTCAGCTTCCCAGCCTGTGAGGGAGGAACACGTATAGAATATTTTATGTCGGACACTGCTCACAACACATTGGCAATATTCAGCAGATACACGTAAACTGTGGTAATGATTAAGGGCTAAGGCAATTTTCTTCTTTAAGTGTTACATCAAGTTGTCTGAGCCTACTGTGCTACATGTGACCTCCCCCCACCCCCAGATGCTAAAAAACACAGTAATACCTACAAGGTGTATCTAACAAGCAGATTGAAATTAAACAAAATGAAATAAAACAAAATACTGCAGGGAGGGGAATAGGTTTTTTCCCTAAACCCTAGCTCTTTAAAAATTAATTTGCTACAGTGCCATGTTTAGAGCATGACAGGGATTCTGGGATTTTCCCCAAATAGTGAGAGATGAGCAAGCACTCGAATCCAAATGCCATGACACATCAGTGTATATGTTTGTGCACTCAGGAGTTCAGAATTCACATTCTGGAATATCCATGTTAAAAACAGAGAGAGCTTTGACTTGAGACCACCCTTAACTTGTTGAAATACCATGCAAGTGTCATGCAGCATCCCAGAAGGAGCACAGGCACTGGTCCCTGGCTGCAGGCACCCCCAGGCACTGGCTCTGCTCACTCTGGCCTGACTGAGCTGCAGCCCAGAGGAACCGTGTCCACCAGCTGGGCTGAACAGGGCTCTGCAGGGAAACGTGCTGCTGAGGCAGGTGTGCCTGGGGTCATACACACCCCAAGGACAGTGCAGCCAACACAGACTGCAGCCTGGTGCTCCATTCCAGACCTGGCAGTGCTGGCTGGGGCACGCACAAACCCCTGGGGCTGCTGCAGGGGCTTTGCCTGTGAGCACACACTGCTGCAGGCACAGAAACACAGACCGTGATCCAGCAGGGATGCTGCAAGGGACTGTGTTAACATAAAAATACTCCCCAGTTCACAGCTTGCATCATCCATGGGTCTCTTAAATGCACGTGGAAAGAAGGCAAAAGCTTGACAAAATTGCCCTGGGATTTAGTTCTGAATTGCACTGGGCAGCAAGACAGGAGCTGCTCTTTTGGCAGGGCTAAGGGGCTTTGGCAGACAATGGGGATGGGCTGTGGTGGGCACTCGTTCCAACAGGATTGGATAGGATGCTCTCCCTCCCTGGCAGACAATGGGGATGGGCTGTGGGGAGCACTCTGTTAGATTTTGACAGGATGCACTCCCTCCCTGGCAGACAAGGTACAACTGGTGATCCAAAAATCCACACTCACCATCCACATACCAGGCAATTAATTGAAAGGAACCCCGAGAAAGCAAAAGAAAGAGCAGGTAAGGAGTTAGATGGAACAAGTATTACAATGCTTTAAAAAGAACTGGTTTGCAGTATAGAAAGATATATTAACACACTTAAGGTTAAAATAATTTTCTCCTATGTAAAATTTCTATATTTTTACTTGTAAATATTCTTGGGCTTTGATATGTAGGAAATAGAACAATTTCAGGCATCAAACTTTTCATTTGAGAATGAGAATGCAACTTCAAAACTACATTTGAAAATATATACTCAGAGTACTCAAAACATACTGAGTCGGGTTGAATTGAAACAAGAGCAAGTATTGTATAGTTTTGCAAGCATTAAGGATCCTCTTTGAATAGACTGAAATCATGTCAGAGATGTTTGATTTATGTGATCTGGTACCAATTAAGAGTTGTCCCAGGGCAGGGATCCAGAATTATTCCAAAGACAGCAGAGTAAATGTACTTGTGGTGGTTTAACAAACTGAAACCAGGACATCTACTCTGTGTTTTAAACATGAAAAATGCAAACGTATACATTAAACACATTTTTAAGGTAAATATATATATATAGCCAAATGAACTAGATTAAATGGATATTTATCAATTTAGGAAAAGGAATGAAAAAGCTTGAATGGCAAAGCCAAGACAAGGGAAGACACTCCATAAAATACTTACTGCAGTTTTCCTGGCAGTCTAGGTGACATTTTTGTAAGAAACAAAACTAAACATGTTGAACCAAATGCCATTCTATAGTAAAACACAAGCAATTCCCAAATGAAGAAGTCTTGTGTGCACCAGCCAAGGGGCAGAATCAGCAACAATTGATTTGTTAATTTTGTTTTTATGCATTTCGCTGTGACACCTCCCGCATGAGCAGAGAAGGCCCCTGGCAGAGTGTGAATGAACAAATGATGGAGAACCCAGAACAGCTGGCTGTGGGTACATGGGCTGTGACATGGAATGAGGAGCAGCACATTCTTTAGCAGAAACAAGAGTGGGAAAAGACATTCTTGAAGGAACTAGGGGCAAAAATTGCTATGGGTCAACATTTGTCTTGACAGGCATCACCTGGCAAGGGACAGGAGTAGGGAAACAAAGAAGCAACATTGGGAGAAATAAAGCAAAAGGCAGCATTAGAAAATGGGAACAACTCAGGCATCAACCCAGACAAAACAAGCTGAAGAGAAACATGACACTGTCATGGAGCGTGGAACCGTTCTCACAGCATTAAAAAGCAGGGTGGAAACAAAATTTGGGGGTTTTCAGTGACTGCAAAACTAAGAAGAAAAAGCTGGACAAACGTGCAAACAAAACCCACCAGGCTACAACTAGATTAGTATTACACTATTAAACATGAAAAACAGTAACAACATCCCAACAAACACACTTGAAAAGCAGATATAGTGAATGGAACTGAAATAATAGCAGGAGAGGGACAGAGAGAAAAGTAAAAATATTCAAAGAAACGAAAGCTGATTCAAAGATACATTTTCCTGAACTATGTTCTAAAGAAATGGAAGATTTCAGAATTATCTGCTCATACAGAACAGTGTTATGTGAGAGGCAGGAGCATGGCTAGGAAGGGATGTGAGGAGCATGACCTGGTTATCAACAGAACCAACCACTCAAGTTAATTTCTCTGGTTGGTTGGGTTTTGTTTGGGATTGTTTTAGGATTACAAAGAGCAGGTTTTTTAAAGATAAAATCTCATCATTGCTAAATTAATGGCAGAATTTATTCCAGCCCATACTGAACACTGCTGAAGCATTTGAGAAGATGTACTTTACCTTTGCTTTTCCTTCAAGGGCTCCAGTTCCAGCATAGATTTTACTGACAGAATCACCATTGACAGACCACATGGATCGGAAAACCTCCTGAAAGCGAGTCACTAACTGAGGCTTCTCAGCCAGGCCCAACACCTCCAGCTGCTGGGTCAGCATCTGTAACAGGGGAAGGCAGCATTAGCAAAAAAACCCAGCAAAGCAAACCAAAACCAAAAAATAACCCCACTTCAAATATACTTCTTCAAAGGCACGTCATAGTTTTCAGCATATATGCATAAAACCCCACAAATCTTGGGATTATATCTATCTTTTTTTACATGTCTCATTCTGAGCAAACTGTCAGCATAACATGTATGATGCAGCCTCGCAAGCATGTTATGTAGCACCAACGCTGCATTTTCCTTTGAAGATAGGTAGCAATACAGGAAAAAAACTACGTAGCTGATTTGTAAACGTTTCCATCTTGAAGTTCACCAAACTAAACACAAAAGCCATTTTCAAGAGCTTTTAAAGAAGAAGGAGTCTCAAATAACAGACAGAGAATGGCAAAGGCAAAATTCTGAAGGCTGGGCAGGAATCAACAAAAGATACAAAAAGGAAACTTGCAAAACAAAATTAAGAAAGAATAGAAGTTTTAGAAATTGGGTGCTTGCTCTTATAATTTTAGGGAGTCATCTAGAGTTCAGTACCTGTTCTATTTTAAGTATCTACTGTCTTAAATAAAGTAAGAATTCATATATCTCATTTAATAGAATTTCAAATTTAAGTAAGCAGTTCTTCAGGATTAACCACTTCCCTTCTTATTAATTAGTTGTATGCTTTTAGCTCTCATACTTGAGCTGAAATAATTTAATTCTCATTGCTGAAAAATCTGGCACACCTGGTTTAAAAATCAGGTTCTATTTAAGCATTTCTTCAAAGGATATGACAGGAAAAAGCAGAGCTCGATAGCTAGGTTGGACATGTAAGTACCGTCCATGTCAAGAATGTACAAAGAGAGAGTCTTTGTACGCCACAGCAAACTGGTGTAAATGCAGCAGCCAAGCACTACATAGCCCAGAATGGGACAGGCCTGCTCTAAAATGAACACCCTGGAAAGCTGTCACAGAAACTCCTCCTAAGGGGGCAATTTTAACTCAGTAAGATTCAGAAAACAGAAGGATAATGGTTTCCCTAGGTTTGACCTTGCAGCATCCGTGCATTTCCATTTCCAAACACACGGAAGGCCTTGTCTCTGAAGTGAGAACCATCTCCCACCTAAGAGATGTGGAAATAGACCCGAGGAAAGCTCCTTGCCCCTCCCTGGGGAAGGGAGGCTGCTCTCCAGCCCCGCTGGCTGCAGGCTCCTACCTCCAAGCCCAAGAAGGCCTGCACGCTGTTGGTCCTGTCCAGGCAGTCCAGGCAGTTGGTCCTGACAGTGCCGCTCTGGGACCTGCGCCAAGGACAAGGGCACAGGGAACACAGCTGAAATAACTCATTTAGCACACAGCTCCTCAACACAGGCACAGCAGTACATCAGGGCATTGCCAGTGCCCCACGAGGACACTCATGAACGGGGCAGCAGCAGAGGGTGAGCTTCCAGTGCTCACTGAGCACAGCTCAGGCTTTTTCTGCAAATAGCATCAATCCTTGTGCTTCACTTTCTCCCAATCCTCCTTGCTTGCTTGGTTAAGTGCCATGCAAGATTAAGGTTTCTTTTCAAGCAATTCAACTAACACACTTCCAAAAGACCTCGGAGAGAAATAACTCATAGTTACAGCAAAAACGAAAAAAACCCAAAAAAAACAAACCTACTGAGTCAGTTCTTGAATTTTCTTTCACTAAAACTAACAGAGATTTGTGATGTGACTAAAGCCAATTCCAGTGCCTCACTACTTGCTGATAAAAATGAACAGCAAGGCTCTCCCCTTTAGCTCAAGGGACGTTTGAGGCCTGTAAGCACTCAGGACTGCTGCACTTCCTTTGGGAACAGCCCAGTGACCCCTGCCAGGAGCTCTCCAAAGGATCCTGATGAGCAGCATCCACGGGCTGCTGGCTCAGCTCAGAGTGCAAACACGAATGGCTCTCCCAAGGACACACACGATCCCTCACTTCTGCCATTCCCACCACACACCTTGCCCACCAAAGGCAGTATGGCTTCAGCACCCTCACTTGGAGACCTAAGCACAAAGTGCAGATCTCCTTTTGGCTTTTGATTTGAAACACAAAGCAAAAAGCCTGACATTTCCCAAAGGAGACAGCCCATGAACTCACAAGCATTGTAACCACCTTCTATTAACATAAGTCTGAGCTGTCACAAGCCACAACTTTTTTTTGCTCTCAGTCTGTTGAATTTGGATTTGTGATGGCATTATTTGAATCCCCCAATAATAAAATTTATATATATATATATGCCACTTTTAAAGCTTTTTGGAGCTCATCTCATCATTCAGCAACTCTTTCTGAGGGAGAGCCTCACTCAGCACCCTGCTCTGCATTAGTTAAAAGGAGTTAGGGTGTGGAAGGGAGAAGAGAAGCAATGCTGCCTACTTCTATCTCTGCTTCTCTTTTCCTGCTGAGGTGAGCACAAACATTGCCCCAGGAATCAGGAATAGGTACAGAGCAGAGCAGGAAACGTGCATCTCAATCCTGCTTGAGAGAATGGAATCTCTCAAAGGGGGATGCAGGCACAGCCAAGACCACTGTCCTGAACACAAACATTTCCAGCACACAGAAACAGCACTGTGGGGCCATCACTGAGGGAGGTGCTCAGTCTGTTACACAGGAAGATGGAAAAACAGACATCAATTCCATGTGGCTGCCTGCTAGGAAAAGGACTATGAACCAACCATTTTCACAAAATCCTGGGGTGAAAGGCCTGAAATGAATTCTTCCCCCTTGAGTGTCTCACAGAGATCATCTTTAGAGCTTTTTAGCACATACACAGGACGAGACAAGATCTCATAGGTGACTCATTCCAGCTGTTAAGGATCACCCAGATACACTAAAACCACAATAACAGAGGCAACATGCTTTCTCTTATCTTCCTGCTGAGGGGTGAAACACAGCCCAGCAGCACAATTTCATCTGAACAAAGTTATACACACAAACCTTTTCACTTCCTTCCCATCAAAATAAAAAAATCCACACTCCAAGAACTTCTGGACTTGAGGTTTAAGCACGCTGTGTAGTTTTTCTGCCTTTCCACCTTTAACCATCTGATGATAGTCAAAGTTCACCATTTTGATATCAGCTGAATGTTCAGATGCTTTCAAATGGCTCTGGCATTGTAAACAGAAGAAAACAGTATAAATATCCCAGTACTTGAACATACAGAAGTAGGAGCTAAACAAGAGATTACCAATATTTTAAAAGTGGTTTATTAGCTTTCTTTTAGGTAAAATGAAACCACTTTTATCACCATTGAAATGAATCACTCAGAACAGATTCATATTTCACATGTGCATTTTTGTTTTCCTTGTCACAGAGTCAGGTTTGTCCTTACTCCCCCAGGGGCTATCTAAGAGCTTCACTGCAAACAAGCAAATTCCAAGGATATGCACAGTGAAGGAACTGCCATACTCACCTGGAAGGCTTTGCTGAGCATGTGCTCCCCTTCTTTTGCCCCAAGTAAATTTACAATAATTTGCTTGCCATATAAATTTTTAAGTGTTTGGAAGTGCCTGTTAACAGAGGAAAAATTCCACAGTCATTTTCTGGCACACAAAAAATGAACAGCAACACCTGCAGCACTGAGAAGTTGCAAAGTATCCAATATAAATATTATTCACACTTTCCAACAAAGCATTGAAAGGCATGAGCAATCCCCAGGAAGTTCCCAGCTTTGCTCAATTCCACCTTTGTACAGACAAAGCCTCCCATTTGGAATAACATATCCCACCTCTGTGATGCAGCAGCACTTAGCAGAGGTTTTTAGTGCATTAGCAAAAACCGGAGATGTTTTTTACCTGTCAAAAGCTGGTGCATTCGCCTCGAAACCCCTTGACATCCTGACACGATGGGATCCCACCTACAACAGCAAGAGTACATTAAAGTGTCTTATTTTGAGCATAGTGCTGGTATGTGAAAGAACCCAGAGCCCCTGAAGGGACAAATTTGGTTTAACCTTTCCCATGAGAAATGTGTCACCGCAGCAGGAGCTGCACCACTCCCTCTTTCAAGGGAATTGTGATGAAATTCTATTAGAGCAGCTCCTGATCCTTACTGACTTCTTGAGAAGCCTTCTCCTCAAGAGCAATTCAGAGGAAAACAGCCTCTTTGGATGCCTTTACATAACCCATTTGAAAGAGGAAAAAGAACTTCAAAGAGGAGACATGGAAAAAAGAACGGACAAAAGCAACTTTTAGACTTTGGAGAGAAGCAGGCTTGGTGAGACACAATGGCATCAACATGCTCCAAAGGATCACCTCATCCTCACAGGCAGCGGGGAAGAGAGCCCAAGGGCTAGCAGATGATGTTTAAAAGGACATGAATAACAATTATGTGTATCATTAAATCTATCTCCTGCTCACCTGCAGGCCTGGCTGCTCCCAAAATAAAGGAACAGATCCTCGAATCTGTATGAAAGATGACACAGAGTCATCCAAATAGATCACCTGGTAAGGAAAGTAAAGCACAGTATTAATAATTATCACAGTGTAAGATTCTAGAATTCTTAGCTTTAACTAGACATGGAGCAAATAAAATATATTTATGTATTACATATTCCACACTACAAACTAAAATATTGTTGCCAAGACTGAGCAATTCCCACAAAAAGTTCCATCACTCCCATGCTCCCCTGCAGAACCACAATTCACAATGTGTAAGGAAATACAGCTTTAGTTATTTGGGCTTGAGTAAGTTTGCACTAGGAGTAAGATGTTTGAAACAACTTGGTAAGACTTTGCTGCAGGAACAGTTAGAACAAACACCAATGCACAGAAAATCACCGTGCAGCCCACTCAGAGCCCTTGCACAGATTCCCTGCATCACAAACCAACAGATCACGCTCCATGAAGTACCCAGGAAAGGCAAACTGCAGCGGAACAACACGGGAAAGGCAAGCTGCAGCGGAACAACACGGGAAAGGCATTCAGCAACGCTGGCACACCAGGAAACTCGGCAGAGAAAGTGTAACAAGAGTGTTCGGACTAAACTCCTGACACTGGAGGTGTACAAGCAGAGCCCTTCCTGCATGGAATCCTCCTTCAGTCACTGGGCTCTGGAAGGAGTCTGAGTCAGCCAAAGAAACGTGGGAGCACAAACAGAGCTGCAGGAACAGCCCTCGGGAACAACCCCTTGGGAACAGGATACCAAGGAGAGGCAGCAAGGCCGGTTTAGCAGGGTCTCACATCTCTGTGTGATGAGGGCAGAGCCATGACAATCCAAGGCAGCAGAAGGACAGTGGCTCTGCAAAGCCGCCTTCCAGAGGAGCTGTGCTAAGTGGAATGCTGTTCTCTTTCCTCAGCCACAAGGTACCCGTGTTCTGGTATTGGCCAAAAATCCCTTTTGCCTGTTTCTCCTACTGTAGATTAGCTCAGGCCAGAAGCAGCACATGCAGCTCCAGGGGCTCAGGGGAAGCACAGCCACCCACAGGAGTTCAGCACCTCCTTAAGCTGCTGCAACTCAGCCCCAGGCATGCCCTCAGCATAAGCCACACAAAAAACCAAGATCATCAAATTACATAACCTACTTAGCTTCCTCATTTAGCATCAAAGAACCTGTTCCAGAGTCTGCTGGTGGCAAACCTGACCCGTGATTCATTGATTTAGAGCAAGAATCTCACCCCTGAGATGGCTGCGGGCACTGGAGCATGGCCTACCTGCTCTGTTTCCACGAAATTGGCCACGTGGCCGTCATCGTTGGTGCCGCGGACGTTGAAGCGGGTGCCGGCCCGCTCGCAGCTCAGCCGGGAGATCAGGCAGGCCTTGGCCTGCTTGTGGGCCGCGTAGATGGTCCTGATCTCCACCCCTCCACACATGAGCCGCAGCAGCCACTCGTCACAGCTCACCCCGTAGTGCTTCAGGTGCAAGTGCAGGGACTGGTTCCTGCAGGAGAACACAGCCATCACACAGCCAGAGGGAGCTGCAGCTCAGCTCAAACGCCCCAGCCAACTGCTAACCCCTTGCATTGCACACCCACTAACACACACGGCACCAGGAAAACAGGCATGCCATCGTTTTGTGATACAACTCTCATTAAACCTTCCTGAAACAGCAAATAGCACAGTAAGAAGATGGGGTGAAGCTATGAATTTCCATAGCCTTCAAATAATAATCTTCCTAGCCCTTGCTTGTCACCCACCAAAAAAAAAAAAACACCACCCCAAGCTGTTTACACTTCTCTGCTCAGCCTTGTTTGGAGAAGGCAGAGATGACAGACTCCAGGAAAGCGTGACAGGATTCCAGCGACAGGGTTACTTGTTTTGTAGCGTGTAAAGCCCCTTTCAATCTCACACCATCACAAAATAAAGCTAGAATAGAATATACATGGAATACTCCCATGATATGGCACCTAACCCTAACCTGGTCACCAGAGAGGCTCCCGGGAATGCATTCCCAGCCAACTGGCTCTCCAATGTCCTTAAGCACCAATTCCAGGGCTGAGTGCTGGTACTCCATGTCCTGCATACATGACTCTCTAACAGCAGTTACTGCTCACATGGAAGGAAAATCCACAGTTTGAATGTATCCGTGCACTCACCAGCACTAATCAATGCTGGATTAAGTAAGAAAGACTAAAGTTCGTGAAATTTTTTGTTTGCTTCACTCTAGTGGGGCTTGGCTTTTGATCTTCTTCGGAAACGTTCACTTGTGTAAAAAGGGAGCAAAGTTTTCTGCACGGCAAAGAAAAGCCAACTCTGGGAAGATGCCTGGTTGTGTCTCTGCCCAGAAAACTCCACTGGAATTGCAAACAGTGGAAGCTCTTGAATTGTAGCCTTTTCACCCTAAACCTAAGTATACAGGTGCATTATAACAGGACACTGAAAACCAACGATATTCTTTCCCTGGGCACTCTGAGCAGGAAAACCCCCAGGAAGCTCACTGAGGTGCATGTGCAGAATGCTTCCTGTCCCTGGATGCAGGGCATGTGCAGAATGCTTCCTGTCCCTGCCTTGCAGTGGTCAAGACTTTCTAGGCCTTGGAATGTGCACGTTCCACCCACCTCCTGGCAGGACTGGTCCTTGCTAAAAAGCCACAGGAGGGGGTAAGTGCCAGAGTTTTCCAGCAGGGGTCAGAATCAGCCCAGCTCACTTGGACAGGGTCACCAGGCATTGTTTCTCAAGCCCTGAGGCACTGCCTGGGCAATGGAGAGCCAAGTCTTCTTCCAGATGCATGGACAAACAGCAAGGTCTCTACAAGCCCTAAACCTACATCAAGGAAACAATGTTTCTCATGACCTGAGCTTATTGCCTACCTTAATTTTTTCCTGTATTTCACACTGATCAGATTCCTCTACCTGACTGAAAGAGCAGCTGAGACCAGAGAAGCACTGGCTCCTCTGCTGGAGCTGGTTGGGTGTATTTTGGCCAGCAGAGGGGAGTGGCTGTAGCTTTTCACCTGTTCCAAGGGTGTAAAGCCAAGTCTTCAGCACCCTACCAAGACCCCTGGACATACAGAGTGTTTTTAACAAAGGCTGGGGGAACAGAATTTCTGACATGTCAGTGTGCATTACGGGCATTATTTAAGCTGCTGATCGACAGAAAGAGCAGTATCCCTCTCACCAAAAATGCTTTGTGAGAAAAAACAATACTATCAAAAATATCCAGTAAAATGATGGTGAGTGCAGCAGCCAAGCAAAGTGCACTTTGCAGCAGAGCCCACCAGCTGTCTCAACAAAGCCCACAATATCACAATTTCTTGAGTAACAAATCCTTTGAAGTGCTTTCATATGTTGGAAACCCCCTTGGAATCTATCTATAAACACCACACCATCTTAGAATCCAGAACATCCTAAAAAACAGTCATTTTTTTTCCTTTGAAGTTTCATAACCACACCCATTTAAAAAACTGACACAACTGATGAAGAATTAAGAGGCACCAAAAGCGAAACACAACATCCCAGGAGATGTTCAGATGAAAACACAGTGTAAGCAGTGAAAAATCTGTGCCTTCCAATTAAGAAACCTCCAAGTGGTGACAGAAACATCCTGTCACTAGTGATGTACTTGTGCCCTCAGAGTCTGAGTAACGCTATTCCATCTCAAGGTGTGCGGGAGAAGGGTGCACACGGAAGAGCTGGGACGGACAGGGATCGAAACTCGCCGGGCGTTGTTCCGCAGAAGAATTCCCAGTGTAATTCACTGCTGCAGAAGCAGCTGTGCACTCACCAGAAGAACCTGTTGTCAGTGGCGTGCTCCTGCGTGCTGCGGTGGGCGCTGAGGCTCAGGTCCAAGCTGACCCCGGTGGCAGACCAGGCGAAATAGAAGCTGCCCGAGTTGAGCACCTTGCGCACCTCGGAGACGCGATCCTCGTCCGTGGGGTCGGCGCGCAGCGACACGAACTCGGTGCAGGTGACCCGGAACACCTCCGAGTCCTGGATCTTCCCCACGGACATGCACCCCGTCACCAGCACCAGGTAGTGCAGCAGCGTGTCCCCTGCAACACAGCCAGGGGCGCGGGGACAGAACGCGCCTCAGCACGGGCCGATGCACTCCTGGGCCGAAGGCTCGCGAGCCCACCCCAGCGTGCCGGGAAACCTACAGAGAGAGCCAGTGCCAACAACACATTCCCAAGCTCTACCGAAGAAAAGGAGAAACCACTCCGCAAAGAGCAGGGATTGCAAAAACAGAAGCTATTTTTGTCCACTCCCTCATTTCTGGGAGTACTCCAAATTTGTAACTTAGTCTGCAAAGGAAAAAAATCAAACAAACAGAAAAAAATAACCCTGTTCCTGTTGCAGAGATCCAGTCTTACAGGAGCAGCACAGCGCTCTGCCCCAAAAGAAAAACACAGGTTTTACATCTTGGACTCACCGAGGTTTAACCTCAACACGCCCAGGAGCCCGTACGCGTCCATGACTTTGGAGTAGGTGCTCTTGATGGTGTCTTTTTCTGCAGAGGCTGTGGAGAGGAAAGGAAAGAGCTGCTGATGTAAAAGCCCCAGCACGATGGCAGCAAGAACAAGCCGCTCCAAACTGAAACCTGAGGGATCACAAAGCAGCTGCTTACGTGACGCTTTGGAAAGAAATCAAAATGTATGAGCATATGGCATTTGATAATGGAAAATGAGGGGTTGACTCTCTGACAAAGGATGATCCTGCCATGTTTTTCAGCAATAAAAAAGCAAAACTCCAAGTGACATTAAAGGAGAACACTGGCATTTTTAACAACATCATCTCTTATTATAAAAAGCATGTACAGCACAGATAAATAAGATGGCTGAGAAAGCTCTCCTGTAATTAAAATTACTGCTTAATGTTGGTTTTTTTTGTGGAAAAAAAAATTACCCTTTTTAAATCACCCTTTTTCTCTGAGAATAAAACCATCATGTGGCAGTGTTATCTCTGAACAAGACTATCACAAGTCCATTTTAACTATCTTAGATGTATCCCAGGCAGATCAAAACTCCTGCAGGTTCACAAAAACTGGTATTTAAAAGCCATGTCATAGACGAATGAGGAAGACACAATTTTCACAGGCAGTTTTGAAACAAAAACCACAAAACAGCCCTGTCATATTTCAGAAGAAATTAGAGTGTATCTGCCATTGCTGTCCTGGGAGTTAAATGTATATTTTAGCCCTTTCATCAGCACTGTAACAGCCAGAGCACAGGATCCCACCCATCCTGAGCTTCTGCTCACCACCAAGCCTGCACCAGGAGGGAACACCAACAATCCCAGCCTGGCCACTGGGTCTGCAGGGATCAGGATTCCATGGTTACCAACAATCAGCACCGCTCTGCTCTGACACTGAAAACCTCAGGACATGATGTGAAGAGGAGTAAATCAAAATGCCCATCTGCCCTGGCATTCTGCTGCGCGCTCTCTCTCACATTAGCTGCATCATCTAGAATAAAATCTCTATTTTATTTAGAGTAAAAACCCCTCTATTTCACCCAGAACTGCTCTTCCTAACAAGCATCCCCCAAGATGAGCATAGCTCTGCCTGTGCACAGGCCCAACGCTTCTGTTCAAATATCCACCAGCTCTTCTATTAAAGTGGATCAGACAATTTAACATAGATTAAACAATTATTTAACCACAGCCTGAAATCCAACCCCTTTCAATGTTTTATTCAGTGGAGTTCTAAAAAGTTTCTTGGCCTTATTGCATTCATATTCCTGTAATACAGATGTAATAAAATTAGTTTTATAGCAGCTTGGGGATGTATTTCCAAATACCTCACCCAGGGTGAGTGTTAAGAACCTGCAGCTGATCTAAAAACATTTTGTGAGCATCACCAAACTGTGCTTTTCTTAACCAGAAAACCACTGGGCTGCAAAGAACTCCTAAACCTCAGACCCTGGCTCCTTCAATCTGCTTTTGAGAAAGGGTTTCATGATACCAATGCACTCTTCTCAACTCAGTTTTCCATAACCAGAAGGCTGCCAGAAAGTGTTCTCCCTCCACATTTCAAATGAATATGCAAAGGTCAGGTTTGGTTTCAAACTTCTTGCAGGATTTTCCTTAGAGGTGCCTGCTGGCATTTAGTGACATGTTAGAACAATGCCTTTTCTGTCTCACACAGATTTATTCTCTTTCCATTGCAGAGAATGCTGGATATCCTTGTTAAGCCTTAATAAGTAAATTAAGTAACAGGGGCTTTGCAATTTCAGACCAACAAAGGTCAATAGAGCAGCAAAGGGTTGCAAAACCACCCAACTGACCAAATAACAACAGAGCAACTTACTGTGGTTAGTCAATTAGTGCTTGCCTAAAGTGCCAAGAACCAACCAAAAGCATTTCATGCCATGTTTCCATTTACATTGGCCCCAGCTCAGTGTTAACTCAAAGCTTCTCCACAGTGACCACCTCAGTGTTTCTCTCTCACACTGCCTGCACTTCTCCCACCTCAGTTTGTTTTTAAGGCCAAAGTTCTCATAGGAAATGTCACATCTGGCATCATTTCCTCCATCCTGCCCTGGTCCATGCCCACCAGGCTTCTGCTTTCCAGGCAGTGCCCAGTGAGGAACTCGCTGTGGTCGCAGTGTTACAACATCAAGGAAAAGCACTGCAGCTTCTGCAAACCAGGATGGAATCAGGAAGGCACAGCTTGACCACACTGCTTCTCATTCTCCTCTCAGGGGACTCCCACCCATCTCCTGAACAGGCCACGGGCTGCTCTCCAAGAGCCCAGGCACCAGTCCCACTGACCCCTAGCTTCAGCCCTCCACAAACAGAGAGGTGTGATCCTTCCATGATCGCTGCTAGGCAACATCAAGGAGCCCAAACCAAACTAACAGAAACCTGCACAAAATCACCACACTTGCAAAGTGACTTTCTAAAGAATTGGTCATGTACCTCTGGAGAAAGCCAGAAAGCCCCATCTGCAGTGCCAAGAGAAAAACAACAACATTTCAAGTCACTATTTATTAAGGATTAACAGCCAAGAGCATTTTAAAACACCATCTGTAAAAAGCCATAAATCACAGACTCTCACAAGAAAGGTGAACAATTGCATGATTTTGAAGGGAATACATCAGCCCTCCTGGTTCTACAGAAATGGAACCCCAAAGGTGAACAATTCCATGATTTTGAAGGGAATACATCAGCCCTCCTGGTTTTAGAAATGGAACCCCAAAGGTGAACAATTCCATGATTTTGAAGGGAATACATCAGCCCTCCTGGTTCTACAGAAATAGAACCCCAAAGGTGAACAATTCCATGATTTTGAAGGGAATACATCAGCCCTCCTGGTTTTAGAAATGGAAGCCCAAAGGTGAACAATTCCATGATTTTGAAGGGAATACATCAGCCCTCCTGGTTTTACAGAAATGGAGCCCCAAAGGTGAACAATTCCATGATTTTGAAGGGAATACATCAGCCCTCCTGGTTTTACAGAAATGGAGCCCCAAAGGTGAACAATTCCATGATTTTGAAGGGAATACATCAGCCCTCCTGGTTTTACAGAAATGGAGCCCCATCAACATCAATGGTGTTTTCAGGATAACCTGGTTCAACATGCATTCCCCTTGATCCCAGATGCAGAGATCAGTTTCCCAGTTTTAACACCTGGCAGGGTCAGATCACACCAAGTCACCATGTGGGCTTTCTGTGGCTGGGCTCTGTCCATGGTGTGCTCACAGGGACCATGAGACAGCACATTTCAGCCAGTGCCTACAGCTCCCAGGTACAACATGGGACTCTGAGCTGGGAACAAAACCACAATCCTGACATCACGTGCATTCCCTTCAGAGCCAGACTTCTAACTTACACTAGATGAGACAAAGTCCACACAACTGTCATTTTAAAAAGTTTAGAATCTGAAAAATCTGAAAAAAAATGTGGAACATTTAGGAACACAATTTGGTTTTGATCTTTTAAGACTAAGGTTTTCAAGGGTTTTGTCAGATTAGGACTGTTAGATTTCTGGTACTTAAAGCTAACTCCTGAATATTACCACAGAGGTGACATCAAAAGCAGAAAAGAATCACCACTTTCACCTATTAAATTAACCAACCAAAGCACTAGTTTATTACTTTTGATACCTCTTTTTTGGACACTTTTTTGGCTCAGCTCAGGATGCTGGGGATGAGGAAACCCTGCCAGATTGCTTTTCAGGCCTGCTGAGACCTCAAAACTGGACTGTGTGGGAGGATTTCCTCACTAAGAAATGGTCTGAGTGTCACTGCTACCCATGGCAATGAACAGCCACCAGGGTGCACACAGCTTACTACAGCTCCCACTGCAGCTCCAGGCTTACTACAGCTCACATAGGTTACAGGAGCTCCAGGGAGCCCAGGTGTGCTCCCCCTGCTCCCCCTGCCCTGTGCCCAGCCCTGCGGTGACACTGAGCCCAGGTGTCCTCCCACCTGTCCTGTGCCCAGCCCTGCAGTGACACTGAGGTCCAGGATGCCGTGACACTCACGGCTCCATGTTTTCCCAGACAGAATGTTCTCCGTGGCAGGGACAGGAGCACAGACAGCTTAGCACTCATGTGGGATGAGTCACCAGCAGGAGAGGGAGAGAACACACTCCTGCCCAGCCAGGGAAGCCTTTCCAGGGAAGGCATCACAGAGAGCCCTGTTTCAAAGGATAAATGCACTGCCCACTTCAGAAAAACAGGTCTATGACACCCTCCCACTGAATTCCAAACACATCAGCAGTGAAGCTGCTGACATTTAAACCCAGGTGCTCTCAGCAGGCTTTGAGAAGGATCCCCACACTCCAATAACCCAAAGCCAGGACCGTGCCGACCAGGGAGGCGTTAAATGCACAAAGGAAAGCCAAGCATGGCTTAGGTGTTTCAGTCACAGCAACATCAGTTAATCCACACAGAACAGCTCCAGAAGCATGGCCTGGGCTGCTCCCACGTTCAGACTGAATGGTTACACAACCACCACCTCTGAACTATCCCTTCACCACGACCTGGCTGACTGGAACAGCCCATGGCACACTCTGAACATCACCCAGCACCTGAGCCGTGCAGCATTGCCTACGCAGGCTGAGCTGAATCCTCTGGATCATCCTGCAGAGCCTCACCAAGGGCACGGGGAGGAAGGTTAACACAGGTATCCTTCCCTCAGCACAATGACACGTGTGCTTCCCTTAAGATGACACAGAAGAGATCAGTAAGCTTCCATTCCATTCTCAGAGCCCATTTCAAAGCTTCCATTCCATTCTCTTAGCCCATTTCAAAGCCAAATTTCTGTACATGGATATTCCAGGAGGTGCAGTTCTCTAAGGCCCTCAGGACTGAGCCACATGAATCCATTTTAATGCTAAAATGTGTTTCACTAGGCTGTGCACGTATCAGCCACTCTACACACATGTAAGAATTATGATCAGGTATAAGGCTAAACATGTTACTTCATCTCCAGTATTTACTAAAATATTTGGGAAAATCTCTCACAGTTTTGAGGTCAGCATTGTAAATTTTTGTAGTCTGAAATGTGGCAGCACCATCATCAAAACCCAGAAGTTCTTGACAGTTACAAGTGATGCAGTTCTGGATTTAAATTGATGTACACTTGATCTGCCCATTCTTCTACCTGTCCACACAGACTTTACAAACATGGCAAACCCTCCCCAAGGGACAGCAGTATTGCATTAACTTGCTCTATTGTTTGTACAAACACCTGTAAGTTTGTACAGCTACAGACTGGACTCTTCTGGCTGGATCCTGTGACATGACCAGCAAGACAGAGAAATAACACTTGACAAATCTTTCCAAGTACTAATCATTGTACTCCTTTAAATATGCACTAAAAAGAACAGATACCAGATGGGAACAGCAAGCAGAACAAGAGAAGAAAGAAACCTGAGCTAGGGGACTCCTGGGCCTTTTCTGCTGACAGTTTAAGACTGTGATCTCCCAACCATTAAGAAAAGTACCAGCACCTAAAGAACTTAGGGAATTACATGGAAATAAAACAGAGAGAATTAAAGAAAAATGCCACTGTAAATATTCAGTGGCAAACTACGCCCTTGGAGCAGACAGAAAAGGAGTAACCAGTTTGCTGGTTAAGCTCACTGAAAATAGTACTCAGTAACTACTTGCAGCTGAGGATGGACATTTGCTGTGACCTGACCTACCAATGAGAACCCCAAGGACACTGCTGTGCAGATGAATAATGAGCTATCCCTAAGCACAGAACACAAGAGGAGAGAGGCTTCCAAACCTCTTCAGGTCTGCCTTCCTCTGCTGGGTAACAACAAGGTGGGGAAGTGGGCAAGAACTCGGAAATGAGCTTGTATTTTTGGGAAAGGCCATTTCTCCGGGTGCCTGCAGTGTATCCTGGCACAAGCAGTGACTTACTGTTCCTTTTTGAGCAGAACCTTCAGGAATAAATAACTTTTCATCTGTTAGCCCTTAAGCAGGTCAAGCATGTTCCATAATTACTAAACACAGGATAAAACAACCTGTTCCACAAATCTTTGAAACATTGCATGACTTGCACTGAACCTGTTTGCTGCCTTTATGACTGGACACTTATCCCCAATGCACACCACAGTGCCTTATCCAAAGTCAAGGGGATCACTTAAATACATGCTAAGCAGAAACTGTACCAGGAAAAGAAAGAGTAGAATTTCAAAAACAGGAGCAAAGCACCCACTGTTCACCTGGAGCATCACACAGCTGCAGCAACCACATCCATCACTGCCTGGCCTCCAACAGGTGCTGGCTAAGGAGAGAACTGCTGCCAGGCAAGGAAAGCCTGCTACACAAGAGCGAAAACCCAGCTCAGAAAAGCTGTGCAACCAGGTGCTTTGACTTCCTAAAGAACACAAACATATTTTATCATTCTATCTATTTTAAAAGTCTATGTACAGGCCTTAAGGTTCTCTTCTTCACTTCTCATTTTAGTGTTCTCCAACAAAACAAAAAAAAGGGAGGGGGCAAAAATTTAGGGAACTATCTCATGCATTTTTCGCTTAAGACATGTAAAAATAACTTTGCAATGCAAGACATCTTGCTCCAGATATTACTCATTTTCTTACAAGACAGAGCAATACTGAGTCTAGAGGGAGGTTAAAAATACAGGGACAAAATAAAGCTAAAGAATCAAAAAAGCCATCAAAAATCACACAAAATGACATAAAACCAAATTATGATCTAACATTTAAGAAAAGGGAATTTATTGCTATGAAATGCAACATCAGAATTAGGGTGAGAATCAGTGAGTTACCATATGATCAAAATAGGGTTGTTCAGAACCCAAGAAACAAGGTGAAGTTGGAGGCAATTACAAGAAAATTTAGTGGACGTGAAAATATAGATGTTTAAAGAAACCTAATGAAATGTGCAACACTCTCTCTCAACAAATGAAGATAAGAAAATGTCACTTTTCTCATTCAAACCAGGAGCCTCTCCATTAGCAAACAGAGCAGCAGCAGAATTGCTTGTCTCCATTTCCTGAATAAAATGGCTCACACAGTGTCAGGTGTGCCACCTCTCTGACAGGGTAGGTATGAAAACAGATGGACTCACAGAGGACAGCCACGGCTCCGGACTCGAACATGAGGCATTCCTCTCTGCTCCTGGTCTCCACCATCACGCTGAAGGGAGGCGGGTCCAGCTTGTGATACACTCGGAACCCTTTGCTGAAAGCCATCGTGCCTCACCACGGGCAGCCCTGCAACACAGGAGGGATGGTGTTAGTGACACAGCTTCTGATACTCAGAACCCTTTGCTGAAAGCCATCGTGCCTCACCACAGGCAGCCCTGCACACACAGGATGGATGGTGTCAGTGACGGTTTGAATCCTTTTCCAGGGATTTAACGTGTTCGGCAAAAACTAACAACACAACCTCCTGCTCCCTCTTTCTACCTCAAGAGACTTACTTGATCTAGGCCCAAAAAAAATACAGGGATTACCTAAGGATGGCATAAGAGTGTTTAAAATCAGAACTAGCCAGAGAAACACCCCTCAAAATCTGGATTTATTTAAAAGCCTGCTTAAGGCAACTAGAATTTTACAGAATCCCACATTGGTTTGTGTTGGAAGGGACCTTGAAGTTGACCCAGTTCCACCTCCATGGGCAGGGACACATCCCAGGTTAATCCAAGCCCTGTCCAACCTGGCCTTGGACACTTCCAGGGATGGAGCAGCCACAGCTTTTCTGGGCACCCTGTCCCAGGGCCTCAACACCTTCTCAGGGAACACACCTAAATCTAATCCTACTCTATTTTAGTTCAAATTTCTTTCCCAAAACTTGATAAACAGGATTTTTCCTAAGGGAAATAAAAAACATAAAATGTTTTCCAGCTACCAGCAATATGGAAGAGTAGCAACCACCTTAATGGTAAACTAGTGCCAAAAGGAGAGGGAGAGCCTTCAATTTTTAGATCTATTTTACCAATTCTGCCCTTGTACAAAAGGACAGGATATTTTAACCACTGAAGCCGTCAAGACATTTTTAATGACCGTACAAAAATGTCAACCTATTTTTGGCTTTTTCCCCCCCGTTCCTGAACGAAAGCAGCGTTTGATTTGGCTTTAAACCCTGCCCTGCGGCGGCTGAACCATCGCAGTGCCGTGCTGGTGACGCTGCCCGCCAGCAACACGCGAGTGCGATCCTAAAAAACCCCACAGAACTCGGACTGCAGCAAACCATAAACAAACGCGAGAGCAGCCCGATCTCCGTGCTAAGGCCCGGCGAACCCTCGCACAGAGCGAGGATCTCTCACTGCGGAGCGGGGCCTCCCTCGCCGCCAGCTCCGTGCCCCCCGAGCAGCGCGCACCGCCCGCCCCGGCCTCTGCCCGAGCCCGCCGCAGGGACCGCCCGGCAGCGCCCGCCCGTCCCGCACAGCGCAGGGACCGGCCGGGCCCGTCCCGCGGGAGCCCCCCCAGCCCCGGGCCGGCCCGCGGTGCCGCCCGCTCACCGTGCGCCCGCCCGGCCGCCCCGCCCGGTGCCGCGGACCGGCGGGATCCGCTTCCTCCCGGCCCGCGTCCTTCCTCCCTTCCTTCCTTCCTTCCGCACTGCGCCGCCCGCCCCGGAGGGGAGGTGCCGGGGGCGGGCGCTGGGCCGAGCGGGGACGGAGCCGTGGATTAAACAAACCGAGCGCGGCCAGGCCCGAGCCCGCCGCGGGATTACCGCGAGGAGCAGAGCCCGAGGGACGGGCTCAGGAACAGCCGTGAGGACGGAGCCGCCTCCGAGTCACCGCGCCGGGCACAAGGCTGCCATACTCACAGCGCTGCCACACTCACAGCGCCGGGCACACTCACAGGTCGCTCCGTGCCCCCCGCAGCCCAGCGGTACCGCCCGCAGCTCCCGCTCCACGGCCCCTGCAGCCCCCGCGCCCCCCAGCCATGATGAGGTTTTATTTTTCTCCCCCTCCCAGCTATGGGGCTTTTTTTTCTGCCGTGGTCCCATCCAATCTCCAAGGCAATATTCATCACCAAGCTTTGGGTGCAGACCAGGCTGCAGCCAGGGTCTATGCCAGGATCGAGGATTTGTTAGGAGAACTACGCTCCCCATCGCTCCCACCCCTAGCGCACCGACACGTCCCTTCATCTTAACCCCGCGCGCCATTTTATGGTCACATTGCCCAGCCCCCGTTGCGTCATCGCCCCGCCCCCGAACCGCCCCGCCCCCTCAATGCCGCATGCTACGTCACAGGCCACGCCCCGTCCATTCTATCCGTCTATATTTCGCTATACCTATATACATATGTGTCTGTCTATCTCTATACCTATATACACATATGTGTCTGTCTATACCTATATACATACATGTGTCTGTCTATAGGGTGCAATAGCGGAGGGTGAGAGTGCGCAGGTAATCCCCCCACGGTTAACCAGGGAATTCCCGCCCCGGCGCAGCCAGGGATGCCTGCAGTCCGTGACAGGGACGCTCACAGCCCTGACCGAGGCCGCGGTGGGTGGGCTCGGGGGCAATACCAGTGCAGAGAGCAGCAAGAAAGGCCAAAAAAAGCCCAAAAAAAGCAGCAAGAAAGGCCAAAAAAAACCCATAAAAGGCAGCAAGAAAGGCCAAAAAAAGCCCAAAAAAAGCCCAAAAAAAAGCAGCAAGAAAGGCCAAAAAAGCCCAAAAAAAGCCAAAAAAAAGGCAGCAAGAAAGGCCAAAAAAGGCCAAAAAAAGCCCAAAAAAAGCAGCAAAAAAGGCCAAAAAAAGCCCAAAAATACTGCATGGGCACATGTGTGTGCTGTACCCCACACATCCATAGGGATTGACCTGAATGACCCACACATGGCTGCATTTGGTATTTATTGCACATTCTGACATTTATTGCACATTCTGACATTCATTGCACATTTATCCTGGTTATGCCTTCTGACACGTGGCAGTTTGCTCATGCTCTTGCCTTGGGCTGATGACAGGATCACAGCAGGAAATGGAGGCCAATCCCAATATTTTGTAACCAAGAATAATTCAGCCCCAGAGTCTTTTGGCCCTTTGGTTTCCAGCGGTTGATTTGCTGTGTGTGCAATGCTGGGGCTCCCATGGCCAGGCCATGACCATGAATGATGGAAACTCTGGGTGCTTCTCTAAACATGTGCAATATCTGCCCTGGCAGGGGCTGCCTTGGTGTGTGCCCCGTGGCACTGCCAGCTTTCCCTGGCACAGCCAGGCCATGATTTTATCCCGGCCTCAGTCACAGGGACTGCAAAGGCTCTGAGGGCACTTCAGGAATATTGTTCTGCTACTCTGGCACACAATTGCTCAAATACAAACGGATGGCGTGGAAGGCGCCGTCTGTGGCTTTTGTTCTGCCTCTTCTTTCTTGTTTTCCTTTCTTGTTTTCCTTTTTTCTGCCAGGGAGAAAGGCAGCGACACATTGGAAATGACATTGTCACCATCATATTTCAGGAAGGTGCAGAGTCTTCTCCCGCATTCCAGCCATCCAGGATTCCCTCTCATTTTACACCCATCTTTTTCCTGACATTTTCTAATTTTTCTTTTTTATAAGATTTTAATTCTGCCCTGAATTCCTCCCTCTCTGCTGTTTATGGAAGTGAAAATTATTTTCCCAACAGAGTTGCATTCTTGCATTCTTGCCCTTCAGCTTCCTAACTAGGAGTTTCCAAGTCTGCAACATCAAGCAGTGTTTGTTAAATCCCTCAGAAGATAAGGGAAAAGCGGGAATGGGAGTTTGAAATACTTTTATTGAAAGCATTTATTTGTATCCTTTCACAAATCTAATTTTATACCTTTTCAAAAAATACAAAGTTATAAATACATTTCTCTTGGTTTTGTAAATTACTTTGGCATTAAATTTTGGCATTTTACTCAATATTGCCTTTCAATGTTTAGATGCTGTTTCTTTTAAATTTGGATTTTGGATCAGTATTTCTCAAATGTTTCAGACTATTTACCATCCATGCTCCAGTTTTTTAACAGCCTGTGGTTTGCAGACTTTTGGTTGAAAGCATTTTGCAGACGATGTGATTGCAAAAAGCAGCAGCCAATATCTTGGAATTCCCATGGGCTCACAGTAGCAGTAACCTGTAGAGCCCAGCCTGGCCCGTGTCAGACCGGATGGAATGGAATGAGGAGAAATAAATGCAAAGAAGAAAATTCTCATTTCTGTCTCTACTCTGTTGCTGAGTTTGAAAAAGTTATCACAGAGCTTAAGACTTCCACATCTCGTTCTCAGGCAGTGAATGTTCCTAGAACCCACTTGCTAGGGGTGAACGGAAATTAACAAAGTTGGAAAGAATAATAAAAATCTTTACTTATCAAAGGAACCTAAATACTAAGAAGAATTGTTTACCACATCAACATAACTCTGCAATAGAGCATCGGCCTTAGTAGAACTTGCACTGGGAATCGGGCGGGACGCGGCAGCGGGAGAGCCCCGAGCCGGGCGAGCTGAACGGGAGGCGGCGGCGCTTGCCCGCCCGCCCTCAGGGAGCCGAGCCGAGGCGAGCGGAGCCGAGGCGCGCCGAAGGCACAGAGCGGCTGGGAGCTGGGCCGAAGCGAGGCGAGCTCGGCCGAAGAGGCGAATGCAGGCGCCAAGAGCCGAGTTGAGGCGACAGTAGCCGACAATAGCCGACAATAGCCGACAATAGCCGACTCGAGCCGAGCGTCTCCGGAGCGAGCCGAGCTCCGCCGAGCGCCGCAGCATCCCGGGCAGGGCGAGGCGCCGGGCCGGGCTCGGGGTGCAGCCGGGGCTCTAGGAGGCTTCCCCGCCTGTCCCTCTCTCTAGCCCTCCTTCCTTCTCCCCGTATTCGCCTTCTCTCGCTCCCTTTCCCCCATTCCCTCTCCCCCCGCAAAGCCGGCTCCTTCCTGTCTTGTCCCTACCCCGCTGCTCCCTTCTGTTCGCCCTCTCTCCTTCCTGTGCCCAGCCTCCGTGTACCCTCGTCTTTCCCTTCCCGTGCCGCTTTCCTGCACAGCCCGAGCTCCCTCGCCGCCCTTTGTCGTGCCCTGCTCTCGCTCCTCTCTTCCCGTGCCCCCTTTCCTTCTTTGCCCCGCAGCCGCGGGGCTCGGGCTGCCGGAGAATAAAGCCCCGAGGGCCGGAGCCCGGCGCCCCTGGGCCCTTGCGGGAGTCCCCGCGCGGGGCCGGAGGCTCTCGGCGGATCCCCCCGTGCCGCTCAAGCAGCGCGGCCGACAGCGCCGGAGCTGCGGCTTTGCCGGCATCGCGCTGAGAGCGGCCCCCGCTCCGTGCCGGGCCGTCCCCGCCGTCTGTGCCGCTCCCTCTCTCGCTGCCCCTGGCCCGTGACAGCGAGGCTGGGCAGGAACCTCAAGCCTTCTGGGGGCTGCCCCCCCTTTCTTGTTGCAGCAGAATCCCTTGCTGGGGCTATGCACGTGTGGGAAGGGCTTGGGGGAAGCGCTGCGCTGCTGTCCGGGGCAGTCGGATTCGTTCGGAGCCTTCTTTGGGGGTCAGGGAAAGGCGGGGTGAAGACTCGGGGCTCTGATGCCGTTGGGGGCAGCCCAAGGTGCCCAGGAGAGGGAGCCCCACGGCGGTGCAGGAGCAGGTGGGGGGCGGGCGAGGGGCGGGGGTCACGCTGGGTGCCGTCCCCCAGAGGGACCCAAAGCTGACACCAAATGCACAGGGAAATTGCATTCCAATGTCTTGGAACAGAGGTTCATGGGAAGTTTTCTCAGCTCTCTAAGGCACGGAGCCCTGGAGCCAAGTCAGCCTGAGCTGCTGCGTGCTTGCTGTGAGCCTTGAGGTGAGCGCACATCGTTGCCGGCTTGGGATCGATTGAAATGCGCTAAGGAAACCAGCTCTGGGCAGGGAGGGAGGGAGGGAGGGAGGGAAATGCTCTCTTAACATGTGCCAATTCTTCTGTCAAACTCATCAGGGCAGGACAGCGTTCAGACTGAAAGTGTAAGAAGATGTGGAGGGAGACAGAGAATCTGACAGGAGCACCGGACTCACAAGTGCACGAATTTTGCTTTTTGCTTGGATTCAAACTCGGAAGTTGTAAGGAATTTGGGAAGGAGAAGGGACATTTCAGAAGGAGACGAAGAAAAAGAAGGTGTTGTTGTTACAGCCCTGGCAAAATCTTTGGTTCTAGCTAATAAAGGAAGTTAGTTGAAATAAAAAAAAGAAAAAAAGTGGGTTTTTTTCCTTCACTGTTGTATTCGTTGGTGGTAGATGGTGTGTTGTTTTATTTCTTGGTCTTATTAACTCTGTGTAAATAGTTTTTTGAGTGAAGCTCACTTTCTGGATGGGTTGGTTTGTATTTGAGGTAGGATTAATTTCAAGAGGTTTCTTTCCTAGACTTCTGATAGGTATTACTGGGATTTTGCTTTTGTTTACTGTATGTATCAACAGAGAGATTTGGTAGGGCCAGCTGGGCTGCTGGAGTTTTGGGTGCTAATTTATTAGATGGCTTTTATTCAACACAGAATAATTATGTAAGTTAACAGCAAATTACCCAATTTATCTAGGTATGCTACCTAAACACAATGCTTTATGTCTTACCATTTTTCTGTTCTTCTGCTCCAAGTAGTTGTGTCAAAAAAGAAAGCGCTGTTATTTTTCTGAAGAGCTTTCTTCTATAACAAGGCCTTTACTCCCTTTGAATTTGAGTCAGAGGAGCCAAACAGCTGCAGCTGCTCTGAGGGCTTTTATATTCGGTGGGATTAGCCCCCTCCCTTTTCCCAGGCATCATGGGAATGGGAGGCAGGCACCATCAGGGGTATATTAACCCCAGCTTTTGCTGAGGG